TTAAAAAATCTGACATGACTGTCTCTGATTAACTGGAGCACTACAACGTGTTGGTCACAGTAAAATAATTTAGCAGTTAAGTTTATAGCTCACATTTGAAAAGGCCTTGAACTGACAATAATTTCTTCTTGACCAACAACAACTAAGACAATAGCAAAGCTAACGTGGCCTTCAAACTTATTTAATATTTAACATTTAAAGCCAGTAAGCATAGCAAGATACGCATGAGATTCCATTTCCATTTATTCAATCACAGACTTATCAAACAGTCTGGCATTTTGTGCTACTGATTTCAAGAGTTAATAACTGAAGAGAAGAACTCCATCGAGAGAGGACAGGAAACGTTCAGGGGACGAGTCCTCCTGTTGTCAGGTGTCGCTGATGGATCTGAATCTGAGGGCATCTTCTGTAATAGAGAAAAACAATCATGGAGTTAAATGTAAAGTATAATGAATTTTACTGTGATGTTTATGCCTCAGACCTGAAATCAGTTTGCCTTTATAAAAAAATAGCTGATCATGGTTTTTGTTTTCCTATTAAAGACAGGATAACTATTTAAGAGGAAAAACAAATATATGATAATACAGGATGAATCCAATAATATGATCAGCTTTATGAATTTATGTTTTAAGACAAACGTGTTCCTGCCACTTTCTATTGAAGATTATTTTAAACTGTCATCACATGGGCCAGCCTGATAAAGTAAACTAATGTTAAATATTCTCATATAATCACGACATAAACAGGGTTGAAATTTCACTTGGGGGGGGGGGGGGTAGATGGTGTGCGGTGGCAGGGCTGCCTTCGTATTTACGCTGGATATTATCGAGGCAGTGGTGATAAATGCTGTTTGAAGAGTTTCCCAGCTCAGTGTTGTTGTGCCAGTGTGTTAATAAGCACCTGTGTTAGTTTGTGTCTGCTGCTGCAGACTCCTGTCTTCCCTGTCCTAAATAAATCAGTTACCAGGTGGGGTAATGAGCAGTGACAGTTATATATTTATACTCCTTAACCATACACAAATCAAACTTAACACTGGAATGAAAATGTCCTTTTTCTTTATATTAATGGATTTCCATTTTTTTATTTTTTTCATGACTGGCAGTGGTTACTTCTGGCCAGGACACAACTCATTTGGAATACCTAAAGTAAGTTGCACTCCTAGAATAGAACAGAGTGCTACAGACCATGCTGAAATGTGGCTGTATGTAACTTACAGGCTGGTGTGTTGAAGTGAAAAAAATATTTGAAAAAATAAAAGTAATTTTAACAGTTATAGTAAAGGTGAAATGCAAGTGATTGTTTACAGGCCTGTTTCAACTTGAGCTGTAACGATAACTTTCATGTACAGTACTAATAGTTTTGCAAAAATTGTATTACAATTTTGTAACACAACAATTAAAAATACACAGAAACAAATTGATAAACACATCATACACACACACTGGTATAGTTAGCACAACTCAGTCTTTGTAGAATGGAGGACAAATGTCTGTAAATCAAAATGAGAAATTATAGAAAAAAGTATTACACTATTTAACACAGAAAATAGATCCGTCATTTCTTGTAGGCCCAGCACACTTTCCAGTATGAGTCTGAATACATATATTTAAGTACATAGATGCAGATGAACAGTGTAAACATGGTGAAAGACACACTGTCATAATATGATCGCACAAACTAACTCTAACATATCTTTAGCCCTCAGGACTTCTGTACTCCAGAGCTTCCTTTCATTCCCTGTCAACCTCTCCAGAGAGGTGTCTGCTGATGGCAGCAAGATTACAAAAGCTCTGCTTGGGACCCTGATCAGTTCCACAACCTTTGGCTTGGTGTCCAATGTGACACAATTTGCCGTCTCTCTTCTCCTCGTCTCCCCTCTTCTCCTCGCCTCCTCTCTTCTCCTCCTCTATTCTCCACCTCTCCTCTTCTCCCCTCTTCCCTTTTTCTCCTCTTCCTCCCCTCCTTTCCTACATTTGCTAAACCCATTTTTATAATATATCTACACTCAGTTGCCACTTTATTAAGTCCACCTAGTTAAAGTTAATGCAGTCTGATACAATAGTTCGACAGTGTAAATTCTGTCCTAATCAGACAGAATTTACATTTTTAATTTCCACATGTTATACTTTCTGGGGTATTGACATTTTGGCAGGTATGCGTCAGTGGTTACTTTGTGTGTTCTGAGTTTGTATACAGGATGAGACAAGTTGCATTTTTTCCCATAATACTATATCTACTGTCTTTGTGTTTTGTTTTTAGATTAATACAGAGTTCCAGAGGCTCATGGCTGTTCCTCTTGAGAAGTTCATGGCCCAGTTAGACATGCACTCAAGTCAGCTGATCAAAGTCATCCATGCTAAAGGAGGAGCAACACGCCAAAAGACTGTGGACATCATGGACACTTTGGACAAGGTAAATCTGTACCATCAAACGAGACCCTTCATAACTAAGAGGGCTGTCACAATATGTATGTATCCTTCATAAATACATCAATATGGGCAGGCCAATGCTGATCATGGCTTTCATATGCATGAATGTTTTTAGCGACTCAAAAACTACACCACTGAGCTCATCCTTTTTTCTTTCTATAATGAATCTCTGGGCTTGTGAATGACTATCTGTTTTTAAAAAAAAGTAAGTGTAATAATTAAGCTATAAGACTAAGGATGTCTTTCTTATGAGATTTAGAACAATAAAATGAGTCAACGTTTGTTGTTCTAGACTGTGGACATTAATCTTCGGAGATCATGTGTGCTTAAAGCCCTCACCATCTTCCTGGGAGAAGATGCAGATGATCTGATCAAGGAATATCTTGTAAGTTTCAACAGTTATTTGCATGTCAGCACATCTTGTCAAAGGGACACACAAATATCCTAGATTTAGTGTACTACAAAAGAGAGATTTTCTCAAATGTTAGAACAACCATAACACCTGAACCATGGTTGGATCATAGCCATATTGGACATAATGTAATTCCCAGCAACAGTACACAACATATTTTTATTTTTTATAAGTAAGAAGGATTTGCCTGGCTTAGGTGATTATACAAGTTAAAAGGAATAGTTTGACATTTTGGGAAATCTTATCGTTCTTGCTTACAGTTAGATGGTCAGATTGACACACCTCTCTCTGCTGGTTGTGGTGTGTGATGACACCCAGCCAAGACATAGCCCAGCACATAACACATATTGGTACATCATCCAAAAACTTCATCACAGTAAGAAGTGAGGCCATTGATGATTTGTGTTTATGTCCTGTACCCCTCTGTAGGACTCTGGAGCAGATGATGTTCAGAGAGACCTGGAGCAGCTCACCATGGCAGTGTTTGTCATTTAGAAGGAGGGGGAAGGACTGCAGGAGCCACCTGCAGACATTGGCATCGTCATTGAGGGCGTGGAAGTGTTGCATGAACTGACTTCGGTTGCCTTAGCTTGTGCCCTGCTTCTAGGTTTGATTTATGCACTCAACCTAGCTTACCCAAAACACCTTCGCTTCACTTTTGAAGTGCTCCAAAAAAATTGTCATGCAGCTTCATCAGCACAAGATGTCCCCCAAAGTCCACAATCTGTATAGCAAACTTCAAAGCTCGCAATAACGACACACTACTATGTATTCCTCCTCTGGAAGAACAAATGGCCTAGTGCTAAATTGTGCTTTTACAGATTTTGTAACGAGTTTGGCAGAAGTTTGTTGTTTTCTCCAGACATTTTTCCTTCCATTTGTAGGGAAAGGTTGCACTTCAGTTTTGATGTGTTCAGTTACACAACAAACAGTTGTGACAGTGTGATTTAAAACTCTAAGAGAAGTGTTCATGTTTTTTCATTCCCATTGTTCAGTTACACTGTTCAGATGCATAATATTTATTGGCTATAGCTGGTTAAAGAGGTTTCTGTATACTCTTGGCACTTTTTCATAGTTGTGATAACACTGTGTTGAGATTTTGTTAAATACTTTGTTGCACTATTTTGCACTTTGCTGACAGAATAACTTTGTGGTCCTACTAACAGTTACTTCTGCATTTTGTGCATATGTGTTTTAAAAAGGACAAATGTGTAATGTGATGGCACGAATGCTGTGTTGGTGGCCATAAAGTTAATGGTTATTTACATTTATACAATAAAGTAATTTTGAGGGTTTTTTTCATACTTTCAGCCAACAATTTTAATTTTAGTTATATTAAACAAACTAAACTTTCATTGTAAGGTTACTACAAAAAGTAATTTTCATGAAACCATATTAGGTTAGAAAGGAGCAGTATTTTACTTTTGGGTTATGCAAATTGTTGAGTTGGAAAAACTGAAAACTTTAAGTTGGCTTGCCTTAATTTTAAGTTGGATTAATGCAAAATGTTGATTTGAGAAAAATTAAATTATTAAGTACATTTGACTTAATCAATTGTGTTAATTAAACTTATTAACTTAATTTCAAAGAACTTAGGTGTTACCAATTGAAGCAATTCAATTAAGTTGGTCCAACTATTTTCTTTTTTCAGTGTAGTTTGAACATCATGGCTCACACTGAGCAGAGAATCCTTTCAGTGTATAAACCGACAGTTCAGCAGTTTATTTCACAGCAAAAGGAGCAGCTCAATAATTTACCTAGTAGTATCACATCTTAATATACTGTTCTCACTCCAAACTGTCTTTGTGGGTTTTTGTCACAGTGTTTAAAATAGTAATAACAACCGGATAAAGCTACTTAATGCACACGATTCTCACTAATCTACAATCAGTTTTCTGCATCAGAAAACATGCAGAGCTTAAATTGTTGTCTGTGCATGCTGAGAGATGCAAACCAGTTTTTCTTGTTCCCTTATGAATTGCAGACAGTGCCATGAGCTCAGGTATGTATTAACAAAGAACCATGGTTTGATGAGATGAGTATTTAATCATTAGTACTTTTCAAAAGAACTTTTCAGGATGAATAAATCTCTCTTAAACGTACAACTTCCCATCGAGCAGTTGGATCTAATGTGACAGACTCAGGGAACACCATGATAATCATCAGAGATGGAGAATATATTCCTTTTATGTAGTCCAATGCACTGAACAGTAATGCATTCATTTGTTATCAATCGTATATTTCAAACAGAGTGCACATCAGTCGACGATAATTACTAAAAAAAACGTGTTTCTCTTTTTTTCAGTCATCAGTCTCTACCTCCTTGCAGTCCCGTCATCCTTTTAGTTGGGAAACATTGTCTATAGAGCCTTTAGGGTCCATTTTATGCAGCAGAAAGTGTCCTTGCACCTGAGCAGCGCTAATCTCAGTGTGTGTAGCCAACGCTTGTTCTGCAAAACGCTCTGCCTCAGAGGCGGCCACGTCCGGGTAGAACCGCCTGAACATCTGTTCAAGCTGACTGTGAGTGCAGTGTCCAATATACTGCTTCAGGTCAACACGGCCGGGTCGGATCAGAGCTGCATCTAACCTGTGTGCAGAAAATATATGCATGACTGATAATGATACAGAAAATACAATACATGAAAGTGAATTACTTTTCCCCCCTCTAGGTGGTAGAAAAACAGGCTGATAACAGATTACTGACATAATATCGTTTTAAAATGTTTTTTTAGCAGTCACACTCCACAACTGTAGCTACTTTCCAAATCTTTCGAAGGAACAGCAATATAAGTTCTCACTTGTGTCCAATATAAGGACCTAGTTTACACTTTCAATTCAAATTAGAAAAAACTTTATTTGTCCTCGCGCAGGGGGGGGGGCAATTCAAAGGCGCATAGAGCAGTTGCAAGAAGAAAATATATAATGAAATGAGGAGCAGCAAAGACAGTGCAGACGGGTATTTCCTAAAACGGTTCATTTCCTTCAAGGTTCCTCAAAAAAGGTGTACAACAAGAGCTTTTAACATTTAGGAGAATCAGAAACCTTAATAGAATAATACATTTGGCATCAGGTTATCATTTATCATTAACAGAAAATGAACACAATTAGAAGAAGTGATCTTTTAGCAGCTCGGGAGACTTACCAAATGTAGTCTGGCTGCTGGACTTTTTGTAGATGTTTTGACTAACTGTATTTTTCTTTTCACACATTACTTCAGCGTATACTTAAATCTCACTGAAAGTTACCTTATTTTCCTTTCTCATTTTGTTGTATTTTTGCTTCAATTGCTTTGTTTTTAATTTCTTCTTCTTCCATACATGTTTCAATAGAATTACATTAAAAAAAACGTTTTCTTCCAACGGTACCTTTCAATGAAGTTGGTGGTCATAAAAACGATCCTGGCCTCAGATGAAGCCACTCCATCCAGAGAATTCAGCAGGCCGCTAAAGGTGAGTCTCCCCATTCCCTGGAAGGCCAGAGGGTCTAGAAGGGAACGAAAACCGCAAGACACAAATAAAGAGTTTGTCCGAACAAACCCTGCTCTACAAGCCGTCCCAAAAGTTGCATCTATCCATTCTTCATCCAAACACAAGGTTTATCCTCTTTTTTTTTTTTTTTACATTGGTTTCCATCAACTGAATTGCCTACCCACCAGCCGCTTTGTACTCACTCTCTGTTGGAAGCAGATCTCTGCTGACAAAGGCAGCATCTACGTCCTCCAGCAGAATGATGCTCTGCTGCGGAGCCACGCTCAGGAGGTGATTCAGGCGGTCGTCTGAAAGGCTTCGATCACTCAGACTCATCAGACAGATGCTGTAACCCAGCTCACCTGCCAGAGCCGTGCTGAAATATGAAGAGTCACAAAGATGAAGAGTAAATTGTGCACAAGTACTTGGCGTATAATCTGCCAGTAAGCTTCTGCCTAGGAAAGTATTCCAAAAGTGTATTCACATAAAGCTGCTTTTTCCACACCCAGGGGGGCCGTACAGCAGATATCCTCTTCTGTATGGAATACCTGAGGGAGGAAGTACTTCATTAACATAACCATACAGATGACCAGGCCATTTAAGGTAGGAAATGTATTCATTTTAATCATTTCTGTTGTTTTTTGCAAGAGCAACTTTCTATCTTCAATTTTTTTTTTGCTATCCTGATCTCTCTTTTTTCATTTCAGTTTCTTGACTACACCTCTTTTTGTCTGCTTGTATTGCAGTTTTGAGCAGTAGGTGCCTTGATGATGCATTCACATGCATCATAGGACTCCAAATGTTTTGGGGCAGCTGTCTTTTCCAGCTCTCAAATTTAAAAAATGGTCGGTGAATGCATCATCAAGAAAGACCCTTTTAACAAGCAAAAACCTTATTATGCTTCCACACAACATGAATAAACTGAGCGTCCAACAGGTCACCCTACCTCTGTCTGTGTACCACTTGGGGTTTCCAATAAACTCCTTCACATCATCTACGATCTTTTCCCCAACGCCATCCTCCAGGACCACAGAGCTGAGGGGTCTGCGTCGCCGAGGAAACCCAAAAGGCCTCCACTCAGCACCCATGGCCGTGTACATCACTGTCCGCCCCTCTTCCTGCTTCAGGGCCAATTCTCTGGCTGCAAAACATGAATGACAAATCTGCTCAACGACCTCTTAAAAAAAAAAGGTAAAGAAAACACAACAGTGTACTGCAGCTCTCAAACAGAATATCAGGGCCTTTCACCTTCTTGTAATATATTGAAGAAAATCTGTCTGTCTCTGCCTAATGCGGTGAAGGTCACAGACTCCCACGGGGTCCCAGTGTGCAGATCCACCATCTGCTTCTCTCTGGTCCTCTCCACCCTGATCCACTTCCTCCCATACCTGCAGACCACAATGGTTTAATTAGACATCATTGATTATTACCATTATTCACTTTTAAGGGTATTGGTGAAGTGCTGAAATAGACTTCTAAAAAAAAAAAAAAAAAACTCTTCTCACCAGATGATGTGGTTCCCAGGGCTTGGGTGGAAGTCAAACTGCGTGTGAACCCGTCCGCTCTCATGAGCCAGGTAGGACGTCTCCACGCTCAGGTGTTGAGTGTGTCTGGCGTGCTTGGTGATCCAGCTCAGCAGCCAGTGGTAGCTCTTATCTCTGCTGGGGACCTCCAGAGTGATCATGTAGTTCCTGCGAAAGAAGACCATCCCCACCTGGGCTCCTTTCCTGGCCACTGCCAACGCTGTGCCAACACCAACCAGTCCAAAGCCAGCCCCAAAGTATGGGTTGTCCTTCAGGCCGTCCAGAAAGTCTGACAGGGGCATGTTGCTGGTGCACAGCCTCCAGTGAAATCAGACTGGAGTTGTTCTTTGCAGGAGCACAGAGCTGCAAACTCATTCAATCTGTGACATGTACAGATTGCTGGGACATGCACTAGTTATGCCAGCATCCAAAGAGAGACGCTTTGTCACTGATACCTCACATGTGGTGATACTTTCTTCTGATGAATGCTGTCATGTGAAGTCAGGAAAATAACATCCCACGGATTCACCGGATTTATCTGCAACTCGTGTCGCTGTGTTGGAGACTATCCACGCAACCTACACAGATCAACCTACAGGAAGAAAAAAAAAAAAAAACAGTCCTCATGCGGGCATGATGTGTGAATCTGCTCCATATGTTTCAGTAGTGGAAGCGACCTCTGCTTACACCTCCTGTGTTTGACAAATATACTTCCGACTTGTCGCCTGCTCTCAGACATTCGTTCCTCCTTCCTTGAATATTATTTCATCGCAAGCCAAGGTAAAAAAAAAAAAAAAACCCGTACATGGATAAAAAAAAATGAATGTAGGATGATAATGTAGTTTGTGCATTTTGCTGTAAACTGCACGGACCGAAAAAGGTAAATGAATAACCAGAAGGAACTGAAGACTTGATCAGATACTACGGAAATTAAAAATGTGCTAGCCTAGCATTAGCACAGCCAATGTTAGCAATGATGTTACATGTATAAATACTATTTTTTTTGTTGTTGTCATAAATAGTCAAACCTCAGCTGCAATTAGTATGAATGAAGACGGCTCGTTCCGTAGAAGAAGAAAAACAACAACATGCACAAGTGCACAGGGTTGAGCTCGTAGTTATTGGTGTTGTGTTTTTCAGATACAATAAACAGAGGAAACTCAGGCAGTAGGTTGGAAATGTAAAATGTGCTGCAGCACTTGTGCAGCTTTAAAAACTAGCTCCTCCTGCAAAGCACTAAAATTGTAATTCTCAAAACGTCAATTGTCTTTTTTAACCTCCATTATAAACTTTAATAAAAACTTTTCACACTGCCTCTCAAAACTCACAACACCTAACTCATTTGTGGATACTTACTAATAGTCATTTGAACTTGATTCATGTACAAAAATGAGTCAGTCTTACCTTTTTATCAGTGTCACATTATAACTGCATGGTGTGCTCTGTGTTTCCAGAGACAATGGAGCGTCATCAGTGTACAAAATGTGGACAGAGTTTCTCGGACAGCGCCTTATTTGCTTCTCACCTCTGTTCAGAAAGGTTGACCGCTCCATCGTGTGAAAAACAGTTGAGTAACTACACATGCTCTCAGTGCACTCAGGCTTTTTCCAAGCCTGGTGTCCTAAAACGCCACTTCAAAATCACCCACAGTGGACATGACCCTAAAGGCCCATTCACCTGCAGCGAGGAAGGCTGTCTTTTCAGCAGCATGGACCGACAGGAATATCAAAACCACTCGATGGCCACACATGGTCTCACTCTTATTCCTTGTACTGTGAAGTCCTGCAAAGTGTCCTTCGTCACACAGGAGGAGATGGAGAGACACTTGCGGGGCCACATGCCCTTTGGCTGCTTTCAGTGTGAGTTTGTCTGTCAAAATGAAAAAGACATGAGTCAGCACCTCTTGGAGCACGACCGTCTGCAAACTGTCGCTCAAGGTAAACAGACACTTTGATACACTAATGCAGAAGTCTTATCTGTCTTTCCATTAAACCTGCACTCTATTTAAAATGGTTTGATTTTGTCGGCCATAGCTGTGGTATCATTTCACGTTCATGTTTTTGCACATCTGTTCATAGGAGTTGAGACTGCAGGCACAGCTGTATGCAGGAATGGACGCCAGCAGCCTGAAGTCTCCAGCAGATCAAAAAGAAAACTGATATCCAACTCAACTCCATCATCACCAGAGGAGGGGAATGATGAACGACATGAGAGGCAAAGGCATAACATAAAAAGAGTGAGAACAGAAAGAGACAAACCTTCAGTAGTGGACACTGCACCACTGCCATCCAAAGGTACGTGTAGATTATAGTGAGCAGGCGTCAAGTTCATATAAAATATCAAAAGCAAGACTCTCAAAATAAGTCATCAGTGCAAAATTAAAAAGATGTTGTTTTAATGTTTTTACTCTACGGGACAATAAGACCATAGACATGGATATGTGCACTGTGTAGAGGTGCTGGTGTCATATTGAACACGTTCCCTAAATTGTGCAGGAAAGTGTTAAGCCAATCTTTTTTTTTCTACATACCATGCAAAAGTGTCACATTAACATTTTACTTCACTGATATTGAGGGATTTCAAAACATAAAATTAGGTACAAATCAATGTCCTCCAACAAACTATACAGCTTACACATAGTGAAGCATGGTCAACCAATCCAGACGTTTCCGCCCATTCTAAATTTGTACATTTTCATAAGTAAGAAGAAGCTTGTGGGCCGTTACGGCTCAAAATAATTTTGTGAAAAAGTGTTTGACAGAATATAGGAAAACAGTGACACAAATGTACAAAGACAAAGTTGTCTTTCTTCTTGAAGTATGCTCAATCTCTTACAAAAGTAATCCATCTTTATTGAAATCTCTGTCATGTTCAAAATGTATTTATTTATTACGTTCTGTACCATCAGAGTACCTTGCAGAGGGATCAGAGCGCGTCTATCGCACACACACCTGCCCCAAGTGTCGCCGCTGCTTCAAGATGCGCTCCCACTGCAGGAGCACCTGCATTTACATTTCCCTGATCCCAGTCTCCAGTGTCCCACCTGTCAACGTTACTTCACCAGCAAGAGCAAGCTACGCGTTCATCGACTCCGTGAGGCCGGTGAAAAGCTTCACCGGTGTCACCTGTGTGAGTATTCGGCCGTGGAGAAGAACGCAATACGCCGCCACCTCTCGAGTGTGCATGCCGCAGAAAGTCAGGACGGTCAGAGTTACCCTTGTCCCACCTGTGGTCAGAGCTTTCTCCAGAGCAGGTCGCTCAAGGCTCACATGAAGACGCACAACATCCTGTCGGACAGCAAGCTGACAAACTGCTTCAGAGAGGGTTGTTCTTTCCAGAGCTCGTCACACAAAGAGCTTCTGAAACACTCTGTGGATGTGCACGGAGTCAGAGCTGTAGAGTGTCGCCATCACGCCTGCGCAGCCGTCTTCGAAAGTGAGACAGACATGCAGGCTCATTATCGGACACACCTGGCCTACCACTGCTCACACTGTGATTTCTCCTGTTCCAATAAAGCCCTCTTCCTCCAGCACCGGCGGCAGGGTCACCCAGGGAGCGACAAGCTTTGCTGCGACTTCTGCTCCTTCGCCACCTTTAACCCCGTGGAGTTTGAGCGGCACGTCGGACACCTGCACGCCAACGAGAAGATTCACCGCTGCTCTCAGTGCAGCTTTGTGACGTCCCACAAACGTGGCCTGAAGAGACACATGTTGATGCACAGTGGTGAGGAACACACTTTTAATGCTCGGATGGCTTCCCCCCCCCCCTTACAGTATGTCTTGTATCTCCTGATCTACTCTCTCCCTTGGTTTGCAGGTGAGAAGCCCCATAAGTGCAGCCTGTGTGACTTCAGGTGCAGAGATGAGTCCTACCTCTCCAAACATATGCTCACTCACTCAGACAGCAAGAACTTTATGTGCGCTGACTGTGGATACGTCACTAAATGGAAACACTACCTGACTGTCCATATGAGGAAACACGCTGGAGACCTCAGGTAGCTCGTTCAGAAGTTTCTCATTCAACCTTCGAACGTTTTTATTGGGACAGTACTACAGAATTATCCTAATTATGGTTTTATTTAAGCTATTATATGTACTGAATGCTGTAATTAAAAACGTGCTGGATGCCCCTTCACATCCATCGGTACGCTCACATATTTAGCCTGATCAGAAGATTCTCACATGCTTCAGCTGCTACACACGTTTCACCTTTAATGGGTTTTTTTTTTTTACCAGTTCCTTTTCCTAAAATATTTTTGAGGATTAGTGAAATGTTTTAGAATAGCTCAAGTAGTCAAGCAGTCCCCAAACAGGCTGCAACACAGTCCCTGCAGACAAATATGCTGACCAAAGTGTGTCCACTAAAAAGTTCTTGTTTGGGCCTCTGACAGACTTAAAAGTGTTAATTTTAAGTTTCTTGCAAAAGTAATTATAGGATATTTTCTTCTAGGGAAATTGACCCTTTATTCAAGATCCCTTTTATTAACCCTGAAGAAGCTTTTACATTTCTCTTCTTAAAGCTACCTTGCATACTTTCACCTTGCAGATCCCAGGTGTTACTATTCTACCACTGTCTTGATCGTCTGGTTATTTGTTTTTTTTTAGTGTTCGTGACTGAAGTTAAAGAATAAAGTTGTCATTTAGTTTGGATACTACAGAATCTTTTGTATATCCAATAACAGAAAAACTAACCAATGAGGGCGTGGGTAGACAAGAAACTCCTAAGTTCTGCAAGATGAAATTACTGTTATTGTCACTGGTTTGAAAAGGAGAACTTAACTTTAACTTGAGCCTTATATCTGTGTGGATCTTGTTGATACCATTTACATACAGTACTATAAATAAAAATCAGGAAATGGACTTATCTCGCTGCATAATTCTCCCTACCTTAACGTACCCACCTTTATCACAGCAGATCTACTCTTTGGTGTCTTAGGAGTGATAGCCCAAACATTAGGTAGTCACTTAGACAGCATGAAACACCAGCTGTAGTAAAGTGTGCAGATGTTTACTCTGCCCTCTCTCTTTTTATGGCTCTACTTTCTGTCTCCTCTCCCAGGTATCAGTGTGATCAGTGCTCCTACCGCTGTCACCGCATGGACCAGCTCAACAGCCACAAACTACGACATCAGGCCAAATCTCTCATGTGTGAGATTTGCGCTTACGCCTGCAAGCGAAAGTATGAGCTCCGTAATCACATGCTGGTCAAACACTCTGGAGAGGAGAAGCAGCCGTCCGTCTATAAGTGCAAATACTGCGCGTACACCACCTGCTACAGACAAGCCCTGCAAAACCACGAGAACTGCAAACACACCAAGCTCAAAGAGTTTCGCTGTGCGCTCTGCTTTTATTCCTCTTTCAGCAGCATCAGCCTCTTTCTGCACAAGAGGAAAACTCACGGGTACGTACCAGGAGACAAAGCGTGGCTCGAGAACTACGCAGCCAAGGAGAAGGAGAGGAACTCTGCTGAGTTCTTGCAGGACTTTTACAAGAAGCCTTCAGCAGCTCAACAGCAGCCCGACAGTCAACTTCTGAAGGACCTCTGACATCTCAAAGGGAACAGCCTGATCTTTATCGCTCAGCAGATCAGAGTGCCAAGAAAGATACCGCGGATGGCTCAAATACTGGGGATGTTTTTGATGTTGGTTCTCAAGAGGTTGCGAATGAAGGGATTTCCGATGTTCCCACATCTGTCAACAGTTCAGAAGAGTACTGCACTCTTGTTTTAACAACACTATCAACCACTGACTATCAACATGAGGAAGAAAACTGTGCAAAGCAAACTCTAAACTCAAACAATTTGAACCCCACCAGGGCTGACCAATCACAAGAGAGAGCAGAACTCTCTGCATCTTCATCAGAAGCAGACGATGTAGACATGGCTGATGCAGAATGTGAACAAAGTGACACAGATAACCATGAGCCTCTCGATGGTGCACATCAACTATTTGAACCTGGAGAGCATGTCACTCAAATACACGAGTTGGAGAATGATGACAAAACGACCAGTTCCTCTCTTCCGACTGAGAAAAGTCAGCCTCTAGAATCTGAGGTCCGTCTGAAAGAGATGAAGAAGCATGACCAGGACCAAGCAGAAGCCATGCTCCTGGAAGGACGAGTGCAGATGGTTGTGGTGCCGGCTAAAGACATTTATCACTGTGATAAGTGCTCTTATGTAACCAGTAAGGAGAGCACTTTGAAGAACCACCGCCAGGCTATGTGTCACGGTAGGACAAAGGGACATAAGTGCCAGTCCTGCGGTGCACAGTTCAAACAGAGGAGAGGTCTTGATAGCCACCTTGCAAAGAAGTGCCCCGCTGTCCAGCGGAAAACCAGGACATTTGTCGGTGTTTTGAATACATGTTTGACTACAGATAACGACTCAAGTGTAGGTCAGGGAGGATCCAAAGTGGATCAGGGAACAAGTTCCATTCGGACAGAAATTCTTCCTTCCCCACAAAGAATTAGCACAGAATCAGATGATCAGGTCTCTCATCAGCCAGAAGAGGGCGTGTCCACAGCTACACCGGATGTTAAAGTCCATCATTCTTCAAGTGAGTCAGGACTCCAGAAGAGCAAAATACAGAGAAAGAAGGTTTCAGAACTTGCACAAAAGAAAGTGAAAACAAAGTGTTCAAGAGAAAGCAGTGAAAAGACTGCTCCACTGCATCCCCTTCACTCTAAAAAAGATGGAAAATTCAAATGCCAGCTGTGCAGTTTTTCGTCAGTTAAGCTTGCAACACTTGAGAGACACATCTCAACATGCCGAAAGAGCTTAAGGAAAACTGAGAATCAGGAATCGTCAGCTTTAGATGATGACGAGGAAGGCAACAAGTCTGTGCGAGGAAAAGAGGACGTTGTCAGAAAGAACAGTGAAGGAGATGGGACAGTCTCTGAGAAACATCGAACCTTCTCCTGTCCAAGCTGTGACTTCAAGTGCAGACAGAAAAGAGGGTTAGAAAGCCATAAAAAGAGAGGCTGCTTAAAACTCGATGAAGTCAAATGCACCAGCTGCTCAATTAATGCCAAATCTAAACATTCTTTGAGCTGTCAAATCCTGAGCGTCCATAACAAAAAGAAGTCTGCCGTAGCTGCATCTGAACGTTTGCAGTGCCAGCAGTGTGCCTTCACCTGTAAACAGGAGCGATGCATGGCACAGCATGTTGCGCTGAAGCACAAAGGTGCACGACCTCACCTGTGTCGATATTGTCCTTTTAGCACCACGAGGCGCTATCGCTTGGAAGAGCATGAGTCTCTTCACACAGGACTCGGCCGTCACAGCTGTGGCGTTTGCGATAAAACATTTGGAACTGTGACCAAACTGCGTCAGCACAAGACGCGCATCCACGACAAAGAGCCCACACACTTCTGCTCCCTGTGTGACTTCAGTGGCTACACGCTGGACGATGTGAGACGGCACAAGCTCAGATGCCACACGGGGGAGTTACACCACTCCTGCGGCCATTGTGACGCACAGTTTAGCTCTGAAGTTGCACTGAGAAAGCACTGTAAACGTGTGCACAAGCTCCAGGTCTCTTTTTCATGTAAGCAGTGTGACTTCACGTGTAGCAGCCAGACCTTACTGAAGGGCCACCAAGAAAACAAGCACCCTCAGGTGAAGTGCAGCACCTGCCAGGAAGCTTTTGAGACAAAAGAAAGCCTGGAGATCCATCAGAGAATCCACCTGGCACATCATTGTCAGCTGTGTCCGTTTGCTGCCAAAACAAAGCAGCTGTTAGCCCGACACCTTCTCAACAAACACGAGGAGGGGTCCCCGGAGGACAAGCCTCTCAGGTGCAGCGCCTGTCAGTTTGCTTGTCGGCACCAGCTGGTGTTAGAGCAGCACCTGCGCTCACACGGGGGGAAACGTCTGTACAAATGCACAGACTGCAAGTATTCAACCAGGAACAAACAGAAGATCACGTGGCACATTCGCATCCACACTGGGGAGAAGCCTTACAGCTGTGAGCAGTGCAGTTACACCTGCACCGATCCGTCCAGGTTAAAGGTACAGTACACTCAGTTTATTGATTATATGGTTCTTAATGGTCACGCTTTTTGAGTTACCAAAGATCACTTTTCAAAAAGTTCTGTTTTTAGTTGTAAAATCATTTTTCTCAAAGCAGTTAAAATGTGTATGACCGTCCTCAAGAAACAGAAAAGGGATTTTTTTCAACATGTGAAAATATTTCTTTAACTAACAGAGTGTAAACATGTTGTTTGTTTTTAGACACAATCCAAAACGTCTCTTTTAGTCACTTTCCTGCTTGCCACTTCAGTAGTACACTGAAGATAAGAAGTATTCTGAATAATTATTACAGGAAAACGAACCAACTATGTCACTTTAGTAGTTTGTTGCCTGGGCGGCTGTGGTTCTGTGGTTGAGTCGGCCATCTCTCAACCAGAAGGTCAAGGGTTTAATCCCTAGCTCCTGCAGCCACATGTTGATGTGTCCTTGGGCAAGACACTTACCGGTAGCCCCAAGTTGCTCCCACTGCTTCGTTAGTAGTGTATGAATGGGTAGAGTTAATACTGACGGACACTTTACATAACAGCCTCTTCCATTATTCTGTGAATAGGTAGATGTGACCTACAGTGTAAAAGCACTTTGAGTCGTCAGAAACTCAAGTCCATGTACCTTTTCATTTTGAAGTTCATTACCATTCAAACTTAATTGATACTTAAATCATTGCATTCATTTTTCTTTCGTTTCTTCCTGTTTTCTAACCATTTCTGCTGCAGCTTCACATGAGGGTTCACCAAGAGGAGAAGAAGTATCTCTGTCCGGAGTGCGGCTACAAATGCAAGTGGGCAACTCAGCTGAAATACCACATGGCCAAACACACAGGTACCAGCCTAACATTAAGACTTTCCTCTCTCTCTCTCTCTCTCTCTCTCTCTCCCTGGTTTCTATAGTCTGTCCTGTCTATAAAATTAAAAAAAAATCTTTTAAAAAATTGGTGAAAAAGCCTGGGCCTAAAAAAAAAACATAGGTCATGTTATGTACTTGATTTTTACTTACAAATTTGTGCTAATGATGTCCACATATTTATTAATAAATGTATTCATGTTAACCTGTTCCTGTAGCTTGGGCGAATAACACACGTGTTTATCCTCTGCAGGAGACAAGCCGTATGCCTGTGATGAGTGTGAGTACCGCACAAACCGAGCAGACGCTCTCCGTGCCCATCGAGACACGCAGCACTGCAGCCTGCGCCCCTTTGTCTGCGAGAAATGTGGTAAAGCCTTCAAGACTAGTTTTGTACTGAAGACCCACCAGCGTCAGCACAGCGACGACCGGCCCTACACGTGTGGATTGTGCAGCAAGGCCTTCAGGTGGCCGGCCGGTCTCAGGCATCACTTCCTCTCACACACCAAGCAGCAGCCTTTCTGCTGCCGTCACTGCTCCTACAGAGCCAAACAGAAGTTTCAGGTGGTCAAACATTTAAAGAGGCATCATCCAGAGGTGTCAGCAGAGCAGGGCGTGGTGAGGGACTCTGAGGCAGGGAGTCTGACCCTGAAGGAGGCAATGCAGGAGAGGCTGGAGGAGAGAGAGGCAGAAGAGGTGGAGGAGGAGGAAGGGACTGCTGAGGAGGGACAGGACGAGGAACATGGAGTAGTTGAAGAGCATGTGCAAAGAGAGGAAGACTTTAAGAAGTAGCCCTGGAGAGTGGGCACAGTAGATGCAGGGAAATAAAGATGTGTTGGAGTTTGAAAGATTGAAACTTAACAGAGACATACAGTTTGTGCAGGCCATGAACCAGTTGTTGTCTGACCTTAAGATTTGGCCTAGTCATAAGATCCTGTTCCGATATTCTCACAGAAACACACCTTACACCACCTGTTCAGATAATGTTCTTTATTTAGTACACATCCTGTGGTTGTAAGTCCATCATCAAATCCAACAGCAACTTTTCCCTCGCCATCGATGGCTCTACAGTGCTCCCTTTGTCTGAGCTCCTTCACCGACACAATCCCACCCGCTCTCTCAGGTCTGCAGATGCAAACCCACCCTCTGGAACTCACTCCCAAAAAACACCAGAGACCCCCCCCCCTACTCACTTCCTTCAAGAAATCCCTAAAAACTCAACTCAGCTAGGTGTTTCTTCTGCCATCTGAATCTGCCTTCTCACCATAAACAATAGGACATATTTCAAGAAAATACCTCTGTCCCTATCAAATGAATAAATTTGATTATTAAGTGCTTTAATACGTTGTTCAAACTGCTTTTGAAGAAAAAATCTAAAAGAATGAATGAGTCAAAAAGTTTTGTCAGTGAGTGAAGTTTACTCTATGGTGTAGATTCATTCATAAAGTAATAATAACTTTATTTATAGAGCACCTTTCAAGAACAGAGAGTCACAAAACAAAACATGCAGAACTTTAAAAGTAATTACAAGAACCTTGAATTAGAGTAATATGTGACCTTTTGCAGGACCTGGTTTATAGTCTGGCTGCAGCATTTTGTTCTAGTTGTAAACAGTTAAGGGATGTTTTGTTGAGAGCGGTGAAAAGTGAGTTGCTGTAATCCAAACTGGATGAAATGAAGGCGTCTCCATCTGAGCTGCGGGGAACAATGGGTCCTCTACGTTTGGGAATATTTCTCAGCTGATAAAAAAACAAGAACGACCAAGCAAGAGCAAAAAGTATTGTATTAATTTACAGGCCTATGTTTACACAGATTTACATAATACACAACACAACTGTTTGTCATTTGTACAGCAGGCACTTCATTGTAGATTAAACAACGTGATGCAAAACTGGGAGTATTTTATAACTCAATGACCACGCTACACCGTAGACAGTGCTGCCACCTACTGTTGGAGATGGGAATTCAGATCAGTATGTTTATAATAATACTGGTATTTGGCGATTGTTTTACACTCTATTAGTAAAACGGTGAACCATACACTCAAAGTTGCTTAATGTTATTTCAGGATATAGCCTACAGGTCATTTAAAAGGTAGTAAGGTTTATTTTGGCATTCAAGGCATGCAGCAACCCCTCTCTCATGTTCCTTCATTTCATTGCAATTTGACAGAATTAAGAATTGCAAACATATTACATTAGAAGAGAAATAAATAGGGGCAGTTATTATTCAACACGGATTCTACATATTTAGAAGTGGACTCTATTGATCGTCCCTGTGTCCTTCAGGTCCCGTATTCATAAATATTATGATGAGATTCCTCTCAGCGAGCTTCTGACTTAGCTTGAATAGCAAGGACTCCTAGTTTAGGAGTGACTTAGGAACAGCGACAGAAACGTTTAGGAGGTGTTGTCGGCCTTGTTGCTAGGTATGACAAAACCTTTCAGTAGCTTTCATTGTTTGATCCAAAAGATTATTAGAAAAAGTGCTCTCTTGGGGGATAATGGCCATGGAAGACAGTTAAATTGATTGGGCCCAATCATAGAATCTACAAACCAGGCAACATTATGAAATGAACATCTCTGCTGATTAAATTGTTAGCCGTGCTTTAGCCTACAAAATATTTTTGAAACACTTGAGCAGCAGCCTCTTCACATGATGATCGTTACATCAGCAACATGCATGTCTCACTTTGCACTGAATAAAGTCATAGATGGATTTATATGTCTGCATGAATCATTTCTGTCTGTTCGGCCCAACTATGATCCAACAATAATGTTCATTATTCAGTGTTTGAAGAACATTTCTTCACTTTCTTTTCATAGGAAGCTTTGTGAATACGGCCCCCAGGTTTCTTTCTTACTTCTTGGTAAATTTGGTGAGGGATCAAATTCAGCAATTATGATTTCTCTTCAGAAACCCATCTAGGCTAAAGCGTCAGATTTTTCTTCCTCTTCACGTGAGCTCTGAGATGCTGATGTTGATGAAGACAGAGGCGGGAGGTATAGCTGTTCCGTCTCTGGAGAGCAGATTTATGTGGCGATATCCTGGTGAAGGAAAGAGAATCAAAGAGTCTATGCTCTGCATTTCCCACAACATGTGATTTATTAGCTATATTGCTGAGGAGTAACTTTGGAGGTTTCAATGAACTGCTTTGTGTTTTCCTTGTTTAATATTTCAGGAGCTCACCTGCTTGGATGCATGTAAACGGTAGAGTGAACTGTCCGATGAAGTCGTTCCTGGATGCCTTGTCATGGTCCTCCACCTCGAAGCGGACCAGGGCCAGCTCAGGAGAGCGGATGACAAAATTTAGAGTTTCGTTCCACACTGGGTTAAAGCCTGCAGGTAGGGGGCAGTAAAGAACAGAAGAGGGTATCAGACCTCATCAATACAACCTACAGAGCACGCAAACAGGAAACTAATAACTAAAGTAAATATTTGCCATTCATTATATGAAAAATGTTTTATATGTTTTAACTTGGTCTGCAAGTTGGTGCAGTGGTTAGCGCTGTTGCTTCACATTGAGGAGGTTCCTGGTTCGAATCCCCTCCAGACAGGGACTATCCGTGTGGAGTGTGCATCTCACGGTGAATGTGTGGGTTCTCTCCGAGTACTCCAGCTTCCCCGCACAGTCCAAAGACATGCTCGGGTTAACTGGTGGCTCTAAAAATTTGCCCCATAGGTGTGAATGTGAGTGTGGCTGATTGTCTGTCTCTATTTCCTAGCTTTATTTATTGATTAATTTTATATAGTTTTCTTTGTTTGCAGATGAATGAGGTGTAGTTCCTTTTTTGTTTTGTGTCATTTTTTTAAACTTATAAAGCATTTGTCTCTCATGAACTGGCACTCAAATCATCAAAATCAAAATGAAATGAAATAAAAGAATCAGTAGAAGAGAAACTCTCACCGTTGTTGTTAATGTGACTGGTCTCCTCTCTGGCCTGGTCCTGTGGGACTCCATAGATCTCCACTCTGACCAGAGGGTCTACTATAGAGCCCTCCTTCTGGTTCACCTTTGGCAGCTGCTGCGCACTGATCACCTGAGACGCATATAAACGTATTTGCACATTAGACACAGAAACTATATTGCACTTACATATTGCAATGCAATGGTTGTCTGACATTGCAAATTAATTTGTTGACTCTTATTTATGCTCTTCCACATCTTAACAGAAATAGATTAAGATTGAAAACATGAGAAACATTCATGGGATTTTGAACCTGTATGGATAAGCGCAGTGGTTTGCCTTGCCGCTCCTCTGGTTTCTCTGGACTGAACAGAGTGTTTGCGTCTCTCATGAAGAGAGGTTTGAGGACAAAGCCGCAGCAGCCATTCTGCCGGAACAGTCCATCATTCAGATCCATCTCCAGACCGGCCTTCTGAAAGTTCAGAGCCACTTTGGGAAACAAGAAAAGAAGGGAGGTAATGCAATTAACTGCCAGCTGCATCACGTGATTTCCCAGACTCGGAGTTCATCTATCTATCGAGCTGTCAGAGTTCAAGTGAGTCCAGCAGAAGAGTCTTTAATCCTGAACAGACAGCATCCGTCTGATGCTTTATGACAGGAAACATCTGTGCCGTCACTCTCCTCCAGCTGCAGGGAGATATTCTGTGTCTGACCCTGAACTCTAACATCACTGTCTCTGCAGGAGGAGGTGGGCTAGCACAAAGAAAAATTCTTGATATTGCATCTCACTAGATTTGGCATTTGAGTAGAAAAGTCGAGTACAGTAAGCTACAGTATATAGACATTGTTTCTGGTTTTATTTTGACTTTGTATTGATATGAAAGTTCTACTTTACATTTGAATCTGTGCTTGTGTTAGTGTGTTACTATATCTAAATATATGGCAATCTGTACTGCATTGAGAAACATGTTTCTTGAGTTGTTGCATTACTTTCCATCTCTAACATGAGCTTATATATCAAAGAAAAAACAGCATACATACAGATAAACTGCTGAGTTCACTACACTAGTACATCATTTGCGATGTTTTGCCACCCCTTAGCCTCCCTGCTTTCTGCATCTACTGTGTCTGTGGAAAATACAACACTCCTGCATTCAAACAGAAAGTTTGATTTAACCAGCAGGGGGCGACGTTCCCCTCACCTATCTGACAGCCAACGTTCCACATATCCTGAGGATTGTAGTTGGAGGAGTCCGTCCTGAGGCCACTGGGGTAGATTCTGCTCAGCTGCCTCGTGTTGTGCTGAACAAAATGTGTTCCTGGAGGGGAGGTTTGAAGAGAATAAAGGCGATGCATGTCTCACACAAAAAACCCAAAGAAATCTTTATGACTCATGGAGTCCTCTCATGTTCACGGTACTGCTTCCTTGGCGAGCTTCTTGGCCTTGGATTCAGAGAATGAGGACATCTCGTAGCATTTGGCGTGTAAATGGGAATGTTCAAAGCCATGGAAGTGCACACTCTTACAGTAAACCACCAAGTCTGACAGCTCCCTGGACAATTTGGACTTTGACTTCTGTAAAAGGCAGGCATGACATTTAAAGAGTTAGCCATCAAATCATTTTCCCCACATCTTTGAACGTAAATAAAAATTAAAATGAGGAGTGGTCATGTCTCCTCTGTAGATTTAAAAACAGTCATAAGTTTGCTACTGAGGTAAAATAACAGCAAATTAGTGTTGGGAGGAGAGATTGGGGGATGACATGAAGCAAAGGGCCGAGGCAGGATTTGAACCCACGGCCGCTGGGATGAGGAATATACCCCGCTTGTCACATAAACACTACAGGCGGCTGTGGCTCAGTGGTAGAGTCGGTCGTCTCTCAACAGAAAGGTCAGGGTTTTGAACCCTAGCTCCTGCAGCAAAATGTCCGATGTGTTCTTGGGCGAGACACTTAACCCTAAGTTACTCCCACTGCTTCATTGGTGGCGTATTCATGTGTATGAATTTGATGAATTTGATTCGTTAATACTGATGGACACTTTACACAACAGCCTCTATACCATCAGTGTGTGAATTTACCATTCAAGCTATCCATCGCCCCATATTTTCCAAATTTTAAGACGGTTTTGACAGTGTCACCAGTTCAAAATGAAAATCTTCAGAGTGTAATATTGCTCCATCAGAGCTTGTGGGTAGGATGATTAGAATTCCTTCTCTCTGCCTCATGCACTCTAATTAAATTGTTGCAGCTATAAATGTTCCCTCAGCAGAGACATGCTGTTGCTGCACTGAGCAGTTCATTTCCAAAAAAGTTAAAGCTACAGAGAGGCACATTGGTTGCTGTTTTCTTTCTTGCTTCACTATCTGTCTTCTTTGTCTCATATCTGCTTTCTTCTAATTGTCCCTGTTTCCTGTCCTGTTTTCTTCTATCTCTCTTCTTTTACTCCAGTCTCGCCTCAGTGTCTCTTCAGTATCAGTCCAGTTTCCTGCCTCTCTCTGCTGTCGAGCTCTCCTTTTGTGATTTTACAATGTCTTCCACTGTAAGCAAAACCTGCTCACTTCAAGAAGCATGGTCAAAATAAATTCTTTTTGGATGTAATTACGAGACATCATGGGAAATATCTATAAGTTCACCTTTGCATTGTGGTTCACAGGTGGTTCATCTGAAGAAAGAGTCTCTGCATCACTGTTGGCCGTCTCTTCATCATCGCTAACTTCGTCTGTCAGGGTGTCATCCAGAGAGCCTCCTGGACCGCCGATCTTCTTGGCTTTCAGCAATATTTTCCCCTTCAGCTCCTGTAATAACACCAAAGAAAGAGATTTGTTGACCTACTGTAAGAGATAAGACTGCTCTTTGTCTGCACTATCTCTGAGTTAGTTTCTACATAAAGAAGCCAATAAATGTTTGATGAAGCGCAAAATGTGTGTTGGAAGGCAGCCTTGTGATAAATGGACAGCTTTTGAATGCTCATTAAGAATAAAAACATCTTCCTGCACTCTACTGCCTCCTAACTGAAAGCAGCAATCTACCACTATTTAATAGGCAAGCTCCTATTTGGAATACCTCATAGCATTTATCTGCCATTAGTTCAACCTAGCATTGATTATCCTGAGTGCTCTAATGGAAAAAAAAAACTTTGCAACTTAGACTGTTGCTTTTAAGCTGAGTGGAAGATGCTAACGAGGCTAACATATGTACTATTAAACCTGAAAATGTCTCTAAATTGTTAATGATAACTAAATCACCTCCAGGTAAGACTCAGTACGGTCTAAAAGACATCAGTCCCAATATTTATTTTGAGTTTTAGGGCCACAAAGAGGACTGTTTGCCACAGTCTGGTATGTATTAAAGGGTTAAAGTAAGAAAAAAAAGCAAGAAATGCTTCACGTAAATCAACTAAATGTCTATAGTTTCTAAAAGAAATGTATTCTGGGAAATAGGCCAACAAAGCCATAATTTAAGACTCATGATATAGTTAACAAACAGCAATTAAATGTCTATAAATAACAGAAGTAATGTCAATAAATTGCGTCGCAAAAATGCAACAATAAATACCAGAGTAATGCCAAACTCACTGGCTGCAGTTTCTTTTTAATGTGGACACCAGCTTATTATTATTTAAACTCCCAATCTTTCTAATAGTTTTAATAGTCTAATAGTCCTTTTGTCATGAGACCAAGACCGATTTAACGTACTACAACACTAGTGCCTGGATTTTTGTGTATTGTCTGCAGAATCACAATCAGGTTTTATTGCCTAGTATGATTACAGTACACGAAACTGGACTTTGTGTTTTGATGTAAAAACATTTAACGTAGAAGAACAAAAAAAGAAGTAAGACGCTATAAAACAGCAGTACTCCTAGTGCAGTGGAACTTAAATAGAGTATAGAATATTATAAGCAATATCAAACATGTGCAATGTAGGAACTGTATACTCGTGCAGGTATGTGCATGATTAGTAAACAGGAAACTCTCAAGTCCAGTGTGTTTATTAACTTAACACATCAAATCTGATTTAGCCTTATTGTTGTAATGTTAGTTGACTCTGTGACACACACACACAGATGTATACACACAGACTACACACTCTATCACACACAGAAACAAAACACACACACACACACGCACACACGCACGCGCACACACACACACAAACATATTTTCTACTTCTCCTTCTGCATCTGTTTTGTATTATCTATTCAAGCCGTGTCTTCATTCATAAGTGATAAACTCTCTGCAGAGTCAAACAGAAAGTTGCAGGAGGAGTGACGTTACTGCTTTGTTCTCAAGACAATGTCTCAATTACAAATTATTCCAATTATAAAGAGAAACATTTTGTATATACACATTACATACACATGTGAATAAAATGTATTTTAAAGAGTTAATCATTTTGTGTCTTTTATATCGAATTTAACGAGCATTTTAAATCTTAAAGTGGATGTTTAGTTGACCTGTGGGTCACTCCATGAAGTGCATGTTTGATTAGTAAAACAAACAGATTCTAACCTGTGGAGAGGGGAGCTGTTGAGGGACCTGCCCATCCAGCAGGGTGGTCAGCAGTGTGTCACCCAAGATCTGTGTGAGGTGTTTGGCCATGACTGTCTGCTGCTCCACACTGCAGTGATTCTCCAGGGACAGGATGACAGGGAACTGTGACACCTATCATCCCAGACAGAGACACAATCTTTTAAAAAAAAAAATAAACAGGTGGATGTAAAAGTGTCCAGAAAACTCAGTGGTGAAAGTTAGTACGCTGTATTTCAGTTGCATCGTACAGAGTTTCTAAAAGTTTCCACAATCTTCAAAAACAGTATCTTCGTCACATCTTAGTAAAGTCCAGTAGGAAAGTTTGAGTGGGTTAAAATAGAGACGTGGAGACACATGAGAAGTTCCTGGTTGTTCTCCATAAAGTTGAGTCAGCACGGGTACATTTCATTTCAGAGGCAGGGAAGTTTACCAACGGCTCCATCTGCTTCACACACAGAGTCCTGTGAGTGGAATTTACAAGGGTTGGTTTGATTTGTTTCAAAAACACATTTTCTTCAGTTATGTTTAGATATCAGTGTCAGACATGTGTGTAACCAAAGACAGAGACACATGTTATTCACAGCACTGAATGATAGCAACAGCAACATCTTTCTCTCTAAATAAATGTTCACACACAGGGACTATTTCTCTTCCCAAATGAAAACTACTCCTAAAGCCTGACTGAGCTCCGAGCATGGATACTATAGGAAGACTCAGACTGGCAATTTGACTGTTCTGATAAAGGCCAGATGCTGGTGCACTTGGTAGGCTGCAGTGCCACTGCCAGCACTGAGGGGAATTAAAAAATGTGTGGAAAAAGATTGTCCTGTAGCTTATAAATAAATGACTGTCTTGATTAAAAACAAAGTTCATTGTGAAGAAACTAAGGCAGTCCAAACTGAAAGTCTGAGGCACTCTGATGCAGCATAAAAGTCCTTTATTAACAGGGATGTGTCTACTCGTTTTCACTCTACAGAGTCTTCGTCAGGACATAATTACATCTGACAGAAGTGATAATAACATAACACATTGCAAAGGTCACAAAATGCTCCCCTCGATGTTGGCACAGGGTCTAAAACCCCTCTTTTAAAGGCTACCTTTTCTTTAAGTCTGATAAAGTGCTACTTGCAGTTGTTTCCTCCCCTTCCTGTTTGAGTGAATCCATTAATTTAAACAGGATTAATGAGAAATAATAAATTGTAATTAAGACAGAAAGAGCCCGAGTTAATGTAAATACCCAAGAAATGTTTTGTAAAGACCCACCAAAAAGGTAAGCGAGGAAAAAAACTATGATGATGATGCCAATTGTTTTACTTTATCACATTTGTTAGGTGCATTAAAAAATGTAACAACAACATTTCCAGGGCAGATTTTTGTTGCCAGCCTGGCGCTGTCATTTAGCCTATCTGGAGGTTAGTGTCAAAATCTGTTTTTCCCTGCTTTCATTTACTTTTTGCTCTGTGATTGGGCTGCTCACCTTGAAAGCGTACTCTTTAAGCGTTGAAATGACGTCTCTAAAAAGAATCTTGGACGTCAAAGTGTGACCGTGATACACGATGGGATCTCCGTCACTGCCATCCCAGCAGTCCACCTCCACACACCGGCAGCCTCTCTTCAGGGCCCTTTAGACAAAAATACATTAAGAGGTAAGTTATCACCTTTCTCTTCTCTCAGGTAAAGCAGGGAGTGAGGATACACTATGTTGTGCTCAGGTGTGTGCAGCAGCACTCACTTAATGTACGCCTCCAGGCTGCTCTGTCCCCGGAGCTGGTCCTCCAGGAGGTAGGTGTTGTGTGAGGAGGAGATGAAGTAGTGGCTGAGCGGCTGGCTCATGTCCTGATGAAGATCTCGAAGCTCAGGGTTAAATATGGAGCCCTCCTGTGAGCACAGGTACATCTGGAAGCCATCAAAAGACATGGCGCCTTGCTTCTTGGCTGCACAGATGGAATAATTCAGACGGTGTTGACAGAACAAGACAGTCCAAAAATGACAAAATCAATGAAAGTAAATAACAGGCTTTAGAGTATTCACACATGAGAAGGTTGTGGGAGTCACATAGGCTAGTACACATTGTTGTTGGGTAAGCTGAGTGTAATAATTAGAAGTAGAAAAGAAATTCACACATCCACATAATTCCTCATATTTGTTCAGGTGTTGAGTTAGAAAGATGTAAAGATTCTGAGGCTTTGCCAGAGGTGGATTCTGGGATGGTGAGACAGACTGTCGTTTGATTGGTTGGTTGTTCAGTCCACCATTTTTGTCTGAACTCTGAACTGAAAAATCAAATCCGACCTGTGTGGCACCTTTCCTGCACGTCATTCCCCCCTCCACTCTCTCACTGATATCAGACTATATACACTTTCCTGTCTGTACAATAAAGGGACAAAAAGCCCCCCTCCCCCCCCAAAAAAAGAATTATACATTAAAAGCTTAAATATGAAATAAAAATAAATACTCATACAAAACGAAGTCCCATCCTGTCAATGTTTAATCAGACGTATATCAAAAGCTTAAATACTTCCTGCAAAACAACGTACCGTTAACAAAATGTTAAAATCAAAGCATTTGTGTGCCAGTGGAAAAGTGGTTAGTTTGCGTGCCCCATGTACAGAGGCTACAGTCCTTAAAGTGGAGAGCCTGGTTTCAAATCCAACCTGTGGCTCCTTTGCTGCATGTCATTCCTCTCTCTCTCTCTCTCTCTCTCTCTCTCTCTCTCTCTCTCTCTCTCTCTTTCTCTTTCTCTCTCCCTGAATTGCAGCTGCGTCCAGGCCTAACTCAGTAATAAAGTCAAAAATATTCAAAAACTGTTGATGTGGAAAAATCTTCGGCCAGAGCTAGAGAGTCTTCAAACCTCCCATTATACGCTGCCTTTAAAACCTTCTACACTCTAAATCAAATTTACTGCAGGAATACTGACGCATATCAAACTGAATGATTTATTCTACAAACATTTCATATGAGAGAGAAGAATTGAAAAAACTCCTTTGAGATCCAGACCGTCCTCAGAAGCCCTGTGTCACTGAGGTAACACTTTAAACGCTCCTCTGTCAGTCACAGCCCTGTTTTACCTGATTCAGATGGTTCGTAGCGATCAATCAGTTCCTGGGCGTGCCGGCAACTTTTGTCTCCCTCCTGCTGCTCCAGCCTCAGGAAGATCTCAAGCTCGTCCAGCATCAACTTCTCTCCATCTCCAGAGTAATCCTGAAACACCTTCCACACTTCATCCCTCTGAGTCAGCATCTTGTAGAAGTGGACAAACTGCTCGATCTCCAGAGCGCCGCTCTCCGACTTATCAGCCATCTGTGGAAATAAAGGGAGAGATTTAGCTTTGTGTCTGTTGAACTGTTTATAGACTATTTTTAAAAAAAAACTGCACAACCTCACCCTCTTTAAAATGAAGATGTTTCAGCTGAATAGCTTTTTTCCTTCACATCTCTGCTCATATTTTTCATGCCAAGTAGAAGATATATATCGAGAAAGGTTTAAAAGCTCACCGTGAAGAGGTGCAGAGCATGTTCCTCATTCATTTCCACGTTCATCATCTTCAGTAATTTCCGCACCTCTTTGAAATTCATCTTCCCGTCTTTGTTCTTGTCGGCTTTATGAAACCAGTCCCAGACCCACCTGAGAAGATGCTGAGGAAAACACCAGCTCAGAAGGGTTTTGGACTCAGAAATCAAACTGATCAATTACATTTTCTACCACAGACATCAAGAAAGTGTTTAGGGTTGACTTAAGGAACTCCTTAAGAAAATAAGGTATTTAACCAAAAACACCACTCAGAGATCCTTGCCAAGGCCAATAGCCCACCACAGTAAAAAAGATACTGGTCCAGCCTCTCCTTCTCATCCATCGTTTCAGCCTTGTGAATCAGTTTGCGGACTCCTTGGATCCAGGCCCGGGCCTCCCCTGGAGAGTCAGCTACCAGGTCCAGGTTGCCTTGGCGACCATGGAACACCAAGGTGAAGCAGAGGTCAGCGGCATACTCTTCAGCGATGCTCAGCAGGACCTCTGACTGGTGTCCCTCTCGCACGGCCTCCAGCTCGGTTATAGAGACTGAAACATGATGACACTTATTTTACTCTTAGATTCGTTAGAGAGCAGGCCGTCCACCAAACACTTTTTTCTGAGGACCTATAAAACCCTTTTTAATACTGAGCTACACCAAAGCAAGACTTAAGTGACAGGGGTAATTAAAGTAATTAGATATGACGTGTTGATTAATCATTATAAAATGTCTCTGTGGAGATATTTTATTCCTTTTAGGAAGAGTAAGGGGCTGGCTGGTTCCCTCTGTTTCCAATAATTATGCTAAGCTAGACTAACTACCTTCTACCTTCAGCTTCTGTTTTGCTAACAGACCTGAGAGTTGAATTAATCCTCCCCTAACTCTCATCATGAAACTAAATACACAGATATCCCAAAAACTGTGAAACTGGTCCTTTAAAGAAATGATAATTATGTATGAAACCATGTGCTGACACACTACTCACAGGTGGTGTGTCCCATCCCCGCCCATCTGGACTTGTACCAGATCGTCAGACCGTCCTCCAGGAGGCGGAAATGTCGCTGCTTCTTCCACGACCTGGACTTCACCTTTCTCAGAGTCGACCCCGCCATCATCACCTTGATATCTGGGTCATCTTGGACACCTGCACAGTGTTCAAATGAAGAGTTCATGATCATGTCATACCTGCTGCACCAACAAACATTTCAGACCAGAGAGCTTATTTAACAGTGAGGATGTTTGAATTACAAAGGGCCGCTACTTAATAACCACAGTTTCTTAATCTTCAGTCTGAGGAGTGAATATTTACTCACGTGGGCCTTCAGTATCCATCTCTATTCTTGAATCATGCCAATGGATGTGCTGCAAATAAGAGGCAGATGTCAGCCAGATGTTCCAAATGCTTTTCTCTTTTTCTTCTCCAAACAACATACATTTTGAAAAAGCTATGGGGCGCCGGATAGCCTAGCAGTTATGACGCGGGAAACATGTACAAAGGGTGGCTGCGGTCCCCGTTGCAGCAGCTGTGGGTTCAAATCTGACCACAGCTCTTTGCTTCAAGTCAACCCCAACTACAGTTGCAAGAAAAAGTATGTGAACCCTTTGGAATTTCTTTGTTTTCTGCATAAGTTGGCCATAAAATGTGTTCTGATCTTCATCTAAGTCTCAACAATAGACAAACACAGTCTGCTTAAACTAATACCACACAAACAATTATATGTTTTCATGTTTTTGTTGAACACAACATGTAAACATTCACAGGGCAGGGTGGGAAAAGTATGTGAACCCCTAGGCTAATGACTTCTCCAAGAGCTAATTGGAGTCAGGAGTCAGCCAACCTGGAGTCCAATCAATGAGACGAGATTGGAGGTGTTGGTTAAAGCTGCCCTGCCCTATGAAAAACACACTTTTTGAGTTTGCTACTCTCAAGAAGCATTGCCAGAGGTGAACCATGCCTCGCACAAAAGAGCTCTCAGAAGACCGACGATTAAGAATTGTTGACTTGTATAAAGCTGGAAAGGGTTACAAAAGAATATCTAAAAGCCTTGATGTTCATCAGTCCAAAGACATCAAGACAAATAGTCTATAAATGGAGAAAGTTCAGCACTGTTGCTACTCTCCCTAGAAGTCCGTCCTGTAAAGATGACTGCAAGAGCACAGCGCAGAATGCTCAATGAGATGAAGAAGAATCCTAGAGTGTCAGCTAAAGACTTACACAAATCTCTGGCACATGCTAACATCTTTGTTGACGAATCTACGATACGTAAAACACTAAACAAGAATGGAGTTCATGGGAGGACACCATGGAGAAAGCTACTGCTGTCTAAAAAAACATTGCTGCATGTTTGAAGTTTGCAAAAGAGCACCTGGATGTTCCACAGCTTCTACCGGCAAAACATCCTGTGGACAGATGAAACCAAAGTTGAGTTGGAAGGAACACACAACACTATGTGTGGAGAAAGAAAGGCACAGCACATCAAAACCTCATCCCAACTGTGAAGTATGGTGGAGGGGGCATCATAGTTTGAGGCTGCTTTGCTGCATCAGGGCCTGGACAGATTGCTATCATTGACGGAAAAATGAATTCCCAAGTTTATCAAGACATTTTGCAGGAAAACTTAAGGCCATCTGTCCACCAACTGAAGCTCAACAGAAGATGGGTGATGCAACAGGACAACGACCAAAAGCACAGAAGTAAATCAACAACAGAAGAAAGTGGCCTGGTCTGGAGTGGCCCAGTCAGAGTCCTGACCTCAACCCGATAGAGATGCTGTGGCATGACCTCAAGAGAGCGATTCACACCAGACATCCCAAGAATATTGCTGAACTGAAAAAGTTTTGTAAAGAGGAATGGTCCACAATTCCTCCTGACCGTTGTGCAGGTCTGATCGGCAACTACAGGAAACGTTTGGTTGAGGTTATTGCTGCCAAAGGAGGGTCAACCAGTTATTAAATCCAAGGGTTCACATACTTTTCCCACCCTGCACTGTGAATGTTTACATGTTGTGTTCAAGAAAAACATGAAAACATATAATTGTTTTGTGGTATTAGGTTAAGCAGACTGTGTTTGTCTATTGTTGAGACTTAGATGAAGATCAGAACACATTTTATGGCCAATTTATGCAGAAAACTAGGAAATACCAAAGGGTTCACATACTTTTTCTTGCAACTGTATCCTCCCATCATGTCCTGTCTCTCTTCAGCTGTTCTATCTAATAAAGGCAAAAAATGCTCCAAAATGGAAAACTTTAAAAAAAGCATCAGCTCCATATTGTCAGACACAAATGTTTGTACTGCAGCTTTTGTATGTAAGCATGCAGGGCGTTGTGAAAGAGGGAAACTATAGGTTCACTTCCCTGCTGTGATGTAGAACATCCCCAAAAACACAGTTCCTTTTCAGGAACATCACGGTTGAAAAAGAAAAGGACAATGATGAAATGTGCACAGATTGCAACTCTGAGACATTCCCACAGACTCAGTCTTGTTATTTTTTTCAAGATGAGTCAGCATTTTATGCCCAGCATCCGTCTTTTACTCACTTATTGATTCATCATCGTCCAGCAGACAAAGAAGCTTGTGCAGGGCAACTCCTGCACAGTGTTTGCTGACTGAGAAGCATCACACACACTCTACTGTCTGTACTCTCATCAGCCTGGACAAAGAGAAATCAGATGTCCATGTGAACACTGATGTTTTTAGAATTCGATTTATCGCCATGTAACCTTCCAACATCAAAATCACAATAATATCTCAACTTGTTGTTGTTTTTTCTCAACTCAAATTGTTGTAAGATAAAAAAAAACTGCCTCATTTGATGTTCTAAGATTAATCAGAGAATGACTACTTACTTCATAAAATACTTAGCAACAAACATTCTGCATTCATAATGTCTGTGGTATTTAAATGTGTAATAATTGAACCCCTTTACCTCATAGAAAATAACCTTGCCGTATGCATTAGCAAATAAACGTGCAGCTTATTTACATGCAGTACAGTTAAGGGTCTTTAAATTACTTTTCTAAATTATGGTCAACAATAGCTCTGTTCCTTGTTGGCTAGGATGTTAAAACAAAAGAGTAGGAAGCAGATGTAGAATATGATTGCTACCTGATGCTGATCGACTGAAACAAAAGGTGTTGGGCTCTGTCAAAGCCGTTTTATTTGTTGTTAACTTACAGAACAAGGGCTTTGTACAAATGGCAGGTTTTTTTCCCCAGAGACCTCAAAGAACAGAGCTTGAAGAGATACCAGCTGAATATGACTAAACCTCATTGGCTCTGAACTGCATATCCTGACTTTAAAACCATAAAAATGCCTCAGTATTAACAAAGGCCAACTTAGCTGCAGATGTTCTGCTTATTTTTGAAAAACTCCTGCTAGCTCTGTTATCACACTGATAAACATGATTCAACCACACCAAAGAGGAATGTTTTCTAACATCTGTATATCTGTATCTCCTCCTGACAGCTATCCCTTCCTCTCATTGTCTCCTTAAAACAACAAGATAGGTTCTATGTTTCCCAACCCCTCATGCCAGCCTGCCCTCCTTGAAAGTCTATGAGAAATCTGACAGCTCTCAACACAGTATGACTGACAAGACGCAAGGAATGCTTTCACAGTTGCTTCACAATTTAATATCCCACTCCTACTTAATAAAATTCAAATGAAAGCGAGGCTTGTTTTTTTCCACTGTGCATAGAGCAATGTCCTCCATAAACCAATCAGCACTTGTATGTTCTGACCAACGTCAAAAACTTATTGTATGCTACTCTATTTTCCATTCAAGTTTGTCACGTTTTACTGCTGCAAGTCAAACACACCCATCTCCTTTTACTCCACATCCAGGCTTTTAGGCTGCAATTAGGTCACATAATGTTGTTTTTATTTTTAGAGCCATGCTTAAGTGTTTTGGATTGGAGCTCTGCTCATGGGGAGATGAGTCACACTTTTTCAGGGAGTTCACTGACCACATGCACAGACACCAACAAAGACATGACTAATGGGGAATACACAGCTCAGTCATGAGGATCAAAGGTTTGCAGACTTTTATCTTGTCTGTTTCTGTTTTATAGTTTTTTAACTGGTTTTATCCGTGTCAGAAAAGTCTGAATGCGTGAGTGCAATGTCTTGATTTTTTACTCCTGACTTTGATTTCCTGTATACAATTATGTGAAGAATGTAGCAAACTAGTGAGCAGGCCAACCCCATCAAATGAAATCCACATATAACTCCAAACCACTGCAGGGAGGGAGATATATGCAGAGTAAATTAGAACCAGAGTCTGAAATATGAGCCATTCAAGCATCACATCAGCAAATCCTCTATGCAAGACTCAAACTTAATTTTTCCCCCTAGAAGGTGAAAAAAGATACACTTACCTAAAGTAAAGGCCGCACTAAGGATGTTATAGGTCAGACCTCCAGAGGTGGAGGGCTTCAGATTCAGAGGGGTAGGACCCTGGATGGTTGGCTTGAAATGAGGTCCAGGGAGGTATGTGGTGTGTCACTCTGGAGAGATCCAGACCCAAGGAGAGTCCAGGGACCGTTAGCTGAGCTCAGACATTAAAAGAATGGGAGTGTCTGAAAAGAAATCTGGCTCTGCCTCCTCTCCCCTCCCTTCTCTCTCTCAGCTCTTACTGCTCGGTCGGAGAAACCTGATTCCCAAGCTGCTGCTGCCGCACACTGGTACGCTCCACTCACACCCCTCCTCAGCCCCTTCCTCCTCCCGTATACTCCCTCCCCACCAGCCTTCCTTCCTTTCCTGCCACTCCCTCAGTCCTCTTCACAAACCCTTTCGCTGCATCTGCTGAGGGTCACTCACCCCCCTTCGGCCTGCCCCGCTTCGCTCTGTCCGTCTCTCTCCTTCATCCTCGGGGCGATTGTGGATGCTCTGCTCAGTGACTCTCTCGTTTCTGTATCAGCATTGATAACAGGGAACACAATTTGGGAAAGAAGCCAAATCATAAAACAATGAACGGTACATACTGTGCATTACATAAGAAAATCAACCTCTGCAGGAGTAATCAAGTCAACAATGGAGCCCTTTCCTGAAATCTGATGATTGTTAAAGATTGCAACAGTATAGACTAATAAATTGTTTTACTGTAAAACTTGGCTGTGTTCAGCATACTGCAGAGCACTTATACTGATTAGATGCTGTTTTTACAGTGCCCAGTCTCAATTTCAAACATTTCTCCACTGCCTCCAGCATTCAAAACTGTAAAAAAAAAAAAGTAAAAAAGTAATGTTTTGGTTGACCCTCTTTTAACATGCAAACGAAACATAAACATCAAGACAATATTAAGTCTCAGAAATCAAAAGAATTGTGCTTTTCTTGCCTGACAAGAGATTTCTTCTTAGTATATCTCTAATAGAGTATAATGGTATCTGTGATTAGATATATTTCCTTCACATAAAGACTTATTTTAAAATGCTGACATTACCATTTTCTAAACTAGACGAATAAACTTTGTTTTTAGGCCAGATGTGCAAGCTTTAAAATGTCTGTTTGACACTGAATATTTTAGCTTGATGTCAACATTTTTGGTCATTAATGGTCACATATTATCCTTCCTTTCAACTAGTTTAAGTAAGTCCCTAAGTTCCCCAAAACATGTCCGTGAAGTTTCTTGTTCTAAATCCACTCTGATCCTGTATTTGATCAACCCCTCTATTTCAGCCCTGCTCAGAACAGGCTGTTTCTGTGTCTGTAGCTTTAAATGTAAATGAGCTGTGTCTGACCACGCCCCCTCTCTGGAAGGGCTTGAGTGTCTCAGGCTTTCTCGCTCCATGCCCTATTGTTTATGGTGAGAAGGCAGACTCAGAGGGCAGAACAAACACCTAGCTGTGGAAGGAAGTTAAGGTTACTGCCCTGGAAAATCTCCAAACGGCCTGTTTGAGCACACATTTTCTGAAAAGTGGAGCAAGCAAAAGACAGAGAGGATGGACTTTTCTCATAATTGGGGCGTTTGTGGACAGACTAGAGACACATGTTAGTGTTTAGAAACCATGGCATAATATGTGACTTAAAAAAATTGTTTTTCTGTTGGCAGATATTTTTTCCTCATGACATACTTTTTCCATATTCTTCAGAGCCGACGTTTTGCTGTATAGATCACAGATTGTAAAAATGGAAAAATATTACTTTCCCAATTCAAAACCATTCAAGCTAATGCACTCCTTCATCTAAAAGCTTCACTGGATCGAGCCTGTAATGACTTTAGCTGCTGGAGCTCATGAAATGTAAACACAGAAAAAAACTCACATTGCACTCTTAGGATAAACATTTCCCAGCGGGATCAAATTCCCCGACAAATGGATGCCTGAGCAAAGGTGCCTGATGGATGCAACAATCTGCTAATGTACCAGTAAAAGGAAAAAGAATAACCATCAGTGAAGTCAGTGGAGATGTTAAATGGAGTGCTATAGTGGGAACAGGTGGGATACTTTCTAATGTGACTGATATGTAAAGGTAGCTAAAAAATAAAAAATAACATTTAACTGAAATATTTCCTAATTACTTTATTGTATTATTTATTTGTGAAAACTACATGTTTTTCTTTATTTCCATAAAATCCCAGTGACAAAGACACAACATCAACATGCTGTTTATCTGAACTACTGCACAAGACTCCAGTTAGACTTTTAATTTAAAAAATCAGTGCAGTCACTAGATCAGCAACAGCTTCTTACTTTTGATGCTGCTTCTTTGACTCTTCTAAAATCATTCTTGTCAATACATTAATCAAACGGGAGCTTCTTGGTATGGGGGTCTTGTTTGCTTTTCTTTACTTATTTGTGTTTTTGGATTCAGCACCCACCGAGGGATGTGTGCGTCTTTTTTATTTTCCAGTGCCAGCCTATTGTGAAATATAATTGACAAAGTGAAAACTAATTCTTCACCTGTTTTTTTTCTTCCATTTTTGTTTCCATTTAACAAGTCCAGTGGCTCAAATCCACATGCAGGGTGGGGTCTGTATGTGCTGAGTTTGCATGCTTTCCTTGGGTCTCCTCTCATAAAAACAGCAACAGGAAGTAAAGGTCAATGAAAGACTTCATTGGTCTTAATGTGAAACATAATTTACCTACATAGTGGAAATATGACTTTACACAACATGCTGATGATAAACACTCAATCTGAAAAAGCGGTTATGAGATATAGATATGGGTTTACCCAAACAAAAGGTAAGCTAGGATTAATGAATATATCTGTTACTGGCTTTACAAGACATTTATATGTTCATTCATTTGTAGTCTTTAGATCTTTTTGTAAAGTTAAATGGCTTATCCTCCTTGCCCCCTATAGTTTATGAAATGCAGGCATCTGACTGATGGACATTGACACCAAAGCAGACATTCATTGAACTTATAGTATTCTGTTTTTTAAGTAAGTCCTATTCACAAGTGTACTTTTTGAATTAAAACATTACTCAGTGTCATCTTCACTGGTATGGGATATTTGATATTTTTTACAGCTTGAATATGACATGTACTTTTTTATTATGATCAATCTTTTTTTAAACAAAGTAGTCTGTACTCTGTAGCTTTTGCAAACCGAGATATGCTGTTAACATTGCCGCCTAACACTGAAAATATATTCCTTAAAATGGAAATCAAGGTACTACTCTTTCCTTGAATAATTACGAGACTGAAAGCAGTTCTTTTAAGCACTGTGACGGTCACTGCCTTTGCTTAAACAGGCTGTTACTAATTGGTTCCGTCTCCCTGTTCCTGGAGGATTTGGTTGGTCCAATCTAGCACACCTGGGCCTGTTGCTCTCAGGGCATAAAAGCCAGACCCCAGGCTGGAGCTCTCTCTCTCTCTCTCTCTCATGCCACACGGACTCACATCGAACACTGTTTGCACATTTCAGACTTTGTTACATTTTGCTTCACAACACCCCACACTTCATTTATGCCACACATCCACATTCACACTACTTACTGACAGACACACTCCATGTTTGCAGTTCTCATGTCATTAGTACAATAAATCATTATTATTTGCAAGTTAACTAGTTTCCTTTTTCATATTTGTCATGGCCCTTGAGCCAGGTTAAGACAGCACATTACAGAGAAAATATTATCATTGATTTGTTGGAAAACAGTTTATTTATGAAATATCTTAGACAAGGGCAACTTCTGAGATTTCACACTGGACCAAAATCATTGTCTGTATTACTGGGCCACAAAATGCAAAGCCAGTAAAACATTAACGTTTACAGAAACACATCCACTGCAGTACTGAAGTGCTGCATTAAGTCAGATATCAGTCCAAAGAGGCTTCAGGGGAAAAAAAGAGGACACAACCAAGTCTTAAAGAAGATCCAAGAGTCTTATTTGAAATGCAAGAAGCAAAATAAAACAAAAGCTCCTAATTTAAAGTGGAATGTTACAGAAAGGTACAGTGATAAATGTGAAAAGAAATGAGCCGACAAATATTACTTAAGTGCTGATATTAACAACCAATACTAGATAATCACTGAAATCTAATATTTACCAGTCCACTAATGTCAAGATGGAAATTGCAGTGCAATTAGAGCAGCATTAACTGTTTTACATGCTGCGCTTTTTGTACATTTGGCCGTTTAATTCTCTAATATCGAGGTTAATTGCATTTCTTTCTGTAGTTTTATTTTTTCTATGTTTTGTTCTTCTGTTTCTTATTTGCTCGTACTTTTAAGCAAAGTGTTTATCAAAAAACGACAGTCTGTGTTTGATAATGAAGTCTTTCGTCTCGGGTCTTTAAAGACCAGATGTATCAGCCAATAAAGCATTCCTGGAAACCTATGATCTATGATTAGGGCTCCAAAAAAAGAAGCCATCCTCATTTTCGATATTGACCTGATGTAAAACCTGTTGTTAATCTCTCCAACAGCAGAAAAAACATTTTCCACTATTATGTCCTTTACTTTGCAGGCAGTCATAGCACCAGTTTGGCAGAATACAGAACCTGGACAGTGATAAAGAGTCTTTCTATGTCAGTTGTGAACACATTCTCTTTATCCCCCCTCCTCACTGTGGAGCCAGCGGGATGCCTCTTGCATCAGTGACTTGGCCCTCCTGCAGGTTCTTGACTAATTGTGCCAGCCAGCGCTTTGTGGTGGTGTCGTCCTTCAGCACCTGGGCGAAGGTGCTGTCTTTCAGCTGGTCTGGCAGACACTGACGCAGGGCTTCTCTGGCCCTGAGGAGAGAAGGACATACAATGTGTCACAAACCTTTTTTCTTAAAATCATCTTGCTATAAAACAGGCAGCTTCTAATGTAAGATTGAAGGTATAAAACTTTTCAAGAAGTCTGTTCTTATCCAGCAATATTTCCAAGTGACCGACACTAATACAATTTTATCAAAAGAGGAATTATTCCTCAGGTACAGCAGCCTGTTTTTATCGGAGGTTTTCCTGCTGAATCCCACAGAACACTGTATATATTTAATTATATAATTGTTACAGTAATATCTCCAGCAATGTGGCTCCTCCTAGTGGCAAGTACTGATCATGCTACTTCAGTCATATTCTCTGCACAGTTTTTCGCCAGAGAATTTGGAGCCTATTTAACATTAAGAGACATGTGAAACACTGCTCTACCTGAGATTATCTGAGAGGCGAAGGTAGCAGCGAACAACATGCTTCAACAGACGAGCTGATGGTTCCTTTGACAGCTGGAGCACCATCTTGCCCTGCAAAGAAAAAGACAAAACAATCAAATGACGTAAGATAGTCTGTATTGTGCAAAGATGCCAGGAGGTTTAATTGATTATAATTTTGATGGGTTTTTTTGCCCCTCAAGAGACACTTACAAGGATCATGGCCACGTGGGAGAAACGTTCATAAGTCTGACATATATAAGCCAGCCCTGTGTCATCCAGCAGGATCTTCTGTAGAATGAAAGTAGCAACCTGCAAAACAAATGAGGTCAAGTAAGACGATCTGTTACCTAAACCAACCACGTCAGCCACTTTATATCATCATCATTTGTTTATCTTTAACTTTAAATAAAAATGATTTTAAACATTTATAAAAAGCAGCAAGTTGGGACAAAGACAGGAGGGACTAAAGGAGAAGATGTTGTACTGGGACACAGATTGGAACTATTAGTATACAACAACAGTCATGTTAGCCTAGATGTAAGTTGGAGTTAGAAAAACAGCAGCCTGGACAGTTTAGTACCGTTTTGGAGAGCTCGCTCCCTGATTCCATGATGCGGAGACACAGTGGGATGATTTCAGTGGTGAGCAGAAAGTTAATCACTTCTTGTTCATCTGTTTTTACCAAAGCACCTGCAGTAAACACAGAAAGTTTGCTTAATGAGAATGATGAAAACGCTGTTTTCTTTCTCTGTTGATCAATTCGAGAAATAATGCTCCAAGGCAGAAGTAAAGTTTACCTATGACTCCGAGGCTGGTGAGTCGCAGGTATTCGAATGGCCGTGTTTTGCTCACAGTGTGTAGAAAAGGGTAAAGGAAAAGAGGGATGTGAGCAGCGAGAAAAGCTGACCTGATTAGGAGCAAAAAGGAGTAAGAGTATTTTATTAATGGGACCAGACTGGAACACAGTAAATATCTGCTCACCTTTATAGCCACACATATTTAACTGAAAATGCAGATTAGAAAATGTTTTTACATCACAAGCACCACATCACATTTAAATTCTTTAAACAAATCTTATTAACAAAGCAAATCTCCCAATAATGATCTTTAATTTACCGTGTCTCAGGGTGTGAAGCAACACACTGCAGAAGTGCCAGGGCATTGCACACTCTGTTAGACTGGTGAGCCGTAAGTGTGGGTGGGTTTATAGAAGGATAAATATTCACTATTTCCTACAAGAGAAGGGAAGAAATCTGTTAAGTATATCATAGAGGCCATACAACTGTAAAAAAAATAAAAATAAAAGACAGTGATATCTGGGATTTGGTTTGTGTCATACCTGCAGCAGGGCAGCAATGGTGCCACAGGAATGCCAGAGCATTGGTGCAAGGTCCGGCACAGACTCCCGTTTCTTACTGAGCTCCAGCAATGCATTTTCTCTGGTCTCAGGGCTGGACAACTCATTGATCCATTGGTAGATCTTCTCTCGGTCCACCTGTGCCAGGGCTGTGACGTTAGTTACAGCCTGTAGTAAGAGGGACACATCTGCTAAATATGTACTGATCATCATCTTATGGATATCGCCCTTCAGCTAAAAAGATATTGAGATATGATATTTGGTCCATATTGCCTAGCTTTAGTTAAACCTAAAATGAACACCAATATGATGGTATGAAATAGGAGATATAGTATGCAGGCAAACATCTAAAGCCATACATGTTATTTTAAGCTTGGGTGGAGAAGTCCAAGTATACCAAAAAGACCCCTAAGTATACCAAAAAGACACCCAAGTATACCAAAAAGACACCCAAGTATACCAAAAACACCCCTAAGTATACCAAAAGACACCCAAGTATACCAAAAAGACCTAAGTATACCAAAAAGACCCCCAAGTATCCCCAAAAGACCCCTAAGTATACCAAAAACACCCCTAAGTATACCAAAAACACCCCTAAGTATACCAAAAAGACCCAAGTATACCAAAAACACCCCTAAGTATACCAAAAACACCCCTAAGTATACCAAAAAGACCCCTAAGTATACCAAAAACACCCCTAAGTATACCAAAAACACCCCTAAGTATACCAAAAAGACCCAAGTATACCAAAAAGACCCCTAAGTATCCAAAAAGACCCCTAAGTATACCAAAAAGACCCAAGTATACCAAAAAGACCCCTAAGTATACCAAAAAATGTCAGTATGAATGTGTGAAAATATTTGGAAAACATCAACCTAAATTATGTGAATGTAATGTAATGCTGCAGTTAATTAATTGCGTAAAGGTTAAGAGTTGTAACATAATAAATAATATTTGTTGAAGGTATCTTAGCTCCACAAAAGGGAAATGATCAGACGCTTAAGAGGCTAATCTTAGATACTTACCGCTCCAGTGGCCAGCATCCTCTGAGGCTCTTTTTTCTGACTGTGATATCAATGACTAGTTTGTAATCTGAAGTTTGGTGCAGGGACGAACTAATGTGGCAGCTTTAAAAACAAAGTTAACGTAACTAACAAGCCGTGAGGACAGCTAGCTGAAGCTAACAGCTAGCTAAAGGACTCGTCAAATGGAACCCAGTACGCGCGAAAACCAACATTACAACAACAAGAACATTATTAGATTAGATAAAAATGTTGACTAAATGTCCGTGTTCTGGTTTTATTCTAGTTTTCTTAACCATACACCCACAAAAACTAAACGCTACCAACCATATTTTAAATCATAGTAGCGAGTTTAGGTTAAGCAATGGAGGCGACCTAAACACAAATAATTAAACTATCGCGAGAAGACAGTGAGGGGGTTGTGTTGGAACTCTCGGGTGTCACTTCCGTTGTAAATTTTCACATTCCCGCCATCATCGAGTAGCGCTGCGAAGCGTCGTGTGCGGGTCCACTGTCAACAACATACGCACTGGGGAGCAGGTGAATGCCGGCAAAACAAACTTTCTTACCCTCGGAGGACCTACGAGAACGCGTTTGCTATTGTTAATAAGTTTTCAACAAGAGCACACACCGTCGACAGGTAAATAAGTGAAGTAAACAAACGGCGGTTCTTGTTTTTTCATCATCAAATTACAATCAGGCAAATTAGCCAGTTAGCTAGGTCCCGCTAGCTAACCCGCTAATGTCGGCCTCCTCCATCCATTCAGCGGCTGTGGACGAGGGGACGACATTACCAGCATCCGAAGCATTCACACTGGGATTAGGGTCACCTTAGTTGTTTTTTTTTAGTTACTTGTCTCATGCTGTTTTTTGTTTTTTCTTTGCTTTTTGTCTTGACTGCTCGTCTTGTCTTGAATAACATTACCAGAAGGAGAAGTCAGCGTTAGTCTGGTGCAGCTTACTGCCGCGGTACAGATTCAGCTAATGGGCTAGTTTGATGGCTAAATGCGAACCAGGCTCCACTGGATCTCGATGATCCCGTCAGCAGGCTTGTGCATTTCTTGTGTTGTGGATGTTCTCCAGGTACTTTTGTCTCAGCTGTCAAATGCAAAGTGCCTCACTGTGCAGCTGCTGCTGGAGTTTGTTTTGACTTTCAACAAGCGCTCAATAGAGAGAAGCCTTTCTTAATTAATGTCTCTTTCTTTAGCTGTGTTACGTAAAACAAGTTCATGCATGTATTTTAATTGCATCATAATGTCAACGATGTATTTTAGTGATTTATTATCAAGCCCCTTTAAAGCCTTTTAAATATGTCTCTATGCAGCAGTGGAGGTCATTCAGTTGCATTGCTGTGATTAAAAACACCACATTGATAATGTTGTTTTATGTTTATGTTTGGAGCTGACAGTCTGTTTTTTTTTTTGTTTTTCTTATTTTGCCTCTTTGATCAGGATTTGTTTGATCACAAGTCCTAACCCCTCCAAAGTGCACATACTGGATATTAAGCCATGGCAACCGCAGTGCCCAAACTCTCCAGCGGCGGCGCTGTCAAGATGCGCTTTACCAGCATGGACCTGGGCACCACCAGGTGGAAAGAAGGAACTTTTGAGATTTTGGAAAAGGAGAACAAAGTCAACCTCTGCCTTAGATTCAATTGTGGTGGAGCGGCCAAAACGTTTCAGGTATGTGCAGCTACAGAAACTATGGTTTTGTTTATTCACTGTAATGTTTTTTTTTTTTTTTTTAGCGAAACACTCTCACACTCTTTTGGAAACAGCTGTCACATCTGAGGCTATTGCTTATCTGTAAAATGAGAACTAAAATACACATTTCTTCTATGTCTGTCCCTCAATTTGTAACAGACATTCCTTGAAATGTCAGAAAAGTTGTTTAAACACTTAAAACAACTAGGTGCTGAAATGTTATTGTTGTTAGATGATTAAGTTATCATCAATGTGCAGGATTTTTATTTTTATGGCCTTGACACCCTTTAAGATATATCTATGAGCAAGGAAGTGATTAGCACACCTGGCAGACAGAATAGAGCCATGTTTATTTGAAAACTCATTAAATGAGATACAAGAAAACACAAAAGAGCGAAACGTGGAATGCTTTATGATGAAAAGTGAGTGTCTTGTGGATTGTATACCAAAAACAACAAGCCAGAGAATCAGTTGCTACATTTTAAAGAAATGCTATGCTGTATAACACTCTTATAAATTGAAATGCAGGGTATGTTGAATATCAACAAATGCTTGGTGATATTCAACACACACACACACACACACACACACACACACACACACACACACACACACACACACACACCCATCTATTTAAGGATATTATAAGGAGCAGACATATTTCCTAACCATATAGTGGTTTACTATAGGGCTTACAGGTTGACATTTGACCCATATAGTAGAAATAGTACAGGTGTTTATCATCAGATTAATGACAATTAAATTCACTTTGCAGCTCGTTATAGTTCATTTTAGTTATTAGTAACACCTGTGCTCTACTCCCTATGACAAGTCAAACGTCTTCTCTACAAAATCCTTTGGTCTTACACAAATTAATATCTGTAAACTTGCTTAAACTTATGAAACCATTCAAAATGACTTCCCTGTCAAGCGTCATATATTGACGATGCTGCCAGTCCTGTAAATGAAATTGGCTGACATGAGTCTGTTTTTTTGCTAATCGGGCTTTTAACAGTTTGGAATCAAACAAACTAAAATGTGCTTTGATGCACAGGGTCAAAGGTTATAAGGCCTTAATAAAAAACCCTTTTATTAAACCATATTTTGCCTGAATTAATAGCAACTTGGTCTGACAAAGAACATATTTCCTCAGTCTAAATTCTACAAATTCATTTCTGGATCACATGAATGAATGATACAAATTTAGTTGTTGCTGTATGTAAGAGAAACAAACAGTCATGAAGTGTGCTTGATTATTATTCATATTTTTCATATTTTTTTTCTGTCCTCAGCTGAATCAGAATGTCAAGAACATCATCCACAATTCAAACCGAATCATACTGACCTTGAAGGACACAAGTGTCATCACTTTGGATAAGGTGCCCACGACTGTGGCTCAGAGGACTAAAGAATACCTGGAGAAGCTGAAGCAGGGAAAGACAAGTAATTACACCTCTGCTCATTTTAAGAAGGCTTTCTTGGGGATTCACAGTAAGATTAAGAAAATGCTGGGAACCATTGCTCTGAGTAATGTTATTTTTGGGGCTGTATTATCATGCCTCATGCATGCATATGGGCCCAATAAACCACTTGTCCCTTTGTTCTCCTTTTATTACAAATAGATGGTCAGCATTTATTTATTTTATTTAGGTTTATTTTGGGACTTTTTGTGCATTTTATTAGAAAGACAGGAGAGTGGACAGAGACAGATATCAGGGAGTGGGCCACCACTGGTCCACCAACACCCACATTTTTATGATTTTGTTGTTTTGTCTGGCAGCTCCCTGTTAGTAAGGGGACAAATACACAGGAAGAGTGCATCGCTGATGTCAGTTAGATAGCTAATTAGCAGCCTAGTGGTTGCACATTAGATATCGTGTAAACATACCTGTAACTGTTATTTAGCCCAGTTAGATGCAGGTGTGGTGTACTCTTTAACACCACTAAGGATAGACTGTCTGCCCTTTGCATGAAAGCAACAGCACACATTTAAATAGCTGTTCTCGTAGATGTAACCGCATCATTTTGGAACTGATGTCAATTGAACAAGCTCTTCCTGTTTGCTGTTTGAGTAGGAATGTAAAGGGTTGGATCACATCTTTTAGTAGGATTTTTTTATTCTCTCAGAGTCAGCTTATTACCTGCAACAGGTGGTCACATTCTATGGTGCTCTGTGGCTTTTGGGATGAGGATAAATAACCTTATAATTATTCAGATAGTGATCCAAATCACATGCTTCATACTGAGTTTTAAATCTTGCTTTATTTGCAGTTTTAAAATCCTCCCATGGAAGTGCAAACTTCGGTGTGCTTGGGAACCGCTCTGCGAAAAATGAGACCAGTCCGACCGGTGACAGACAGGTGAGCGAGAATAGATATTTAAACATCTAAAATTTAAAGAAGCATACAACAAAATTTTGAATTAATATCAGACTGCTGACATCTTCCAGGCAACACAGAGGCGGCAGGGTGCAGACAGCCGGGAGGACACAACACCACGAAAGCCTCTGGGCAGCCCGAGTAGAGCTGCCTCCACTCCCACTCGCACTGGACTCTCTGAGAACAGGTGTGAAGAAAATTCACGTTTTTCCTTTTTTTTTTAAATGGCGAAATAAAACAGGACAGTTGTTGTTTGGTAGTTACACTAAGTACAACAACAGCCCCATGTCCTGTGTCCTTGGTGAGTCTTTGTGCATGCATGTCCTGTACGGTGTTGTGTTTTTTTCCTTTCTTGCCAACTTAGAAATGGTTAGCTCAGGTTTGTGACATGAAATGTTCTGTCACTGTTTTCCAGGAGCGAGAAGAGAAAGAGACTTCTGAACTCTGAAAGTGATCTGACTGAGGACTACCCCAAGGAAAATGACTCCTCAAGGTAAAAGAAACACGCCTCAATGCACAGGCTGAACTGTGTTCCTGCTGGATACACAGAGTGAGCTGAATTCTGTGGCATATTGTTGAATTAAATGATAAGACAGATACCAGAATAATAAAATAAACAGTTATGTAAGTTTGTTCATTTACACGTGCAAATAAAAGCTTTGAAGTTATAATTATATTCTTTTCCTTAGCAACAACAAGGCCACTTCAGATCCATCCCGGAAGTTTTTACTGAGCTGCAAAGAAAAACTGAAGCAGGCCGAGGAGAACAGGGGCTCAGGTAAACTCCTACATCAACCGATCTCCAGCAACTTCTATATTGCTTCTTATGTTGGCAACCACGTATGACTATCTTCTGCTAAACTTAAAGGTTTTAGAGCATGTGTTGTAGCTGCCCTTTTGCAAACTGAGACCCTTAATGGGGTGATATGTATAACATTACATTTTGATGTTTATGCTCCACATTATTTGTCCTTCTTTTTAGCTCCACTGGGTTCAACACCACTTCAGCCAACATCTTTCTATGGCAGCCGATCTGTGACTAAAGACTACAGCCAGAGCCATTCTTTCCTGGACAGGTAAGTTGCTTTTGTGAAACCCCAAAGTCAGAATTGATGAATGCAAGTTTTCAGCACACACATCTGCATCTTTGTAATGGTATACTCGAGCAGGGAAAAACCTATTTCTGATGTTTTCTTCATTTAAAAGTAAAACACTGGGGGGGTGGAAACAGCTCAGTTATTGAAAATGATTTTAGGTTACACAGTTTAGGCTTATGATTACCTAAGGGGGTTTATGGCTTGTGAAAATTGAATTGAGAAATTATAATCAAACTTTCCAAATCTTCACTAATCTCTCCCCCCCTAAGGCCATCCAGTACAGCACAAACCACCAAGAGAAGCCTTATGCTGCCAAATCACTCCACTCCCTTCAAGAAGGTTCGGCCCTCCCTGGACTACGGTGGCTGGAACAAACAGAGGCCTTCCACTTTGGCCCAGCCTCAGCCGCCACTGCAAGGGTAAGAGTTCACAAGATTTTACCGGAAGTTTTAGCAGAATCAATGTATCTGATATTAATATTGATTCAAACATACATGATGAAGGCTCAGTCTCTTATCCCTGGAGAAGATCAAGGTCCAAAGACTATGCCTTGATATTTGTCCTTTTGTGTGTGTTATGTTTTGCAGATTTTCCAACCTTGGCAACACTTGCTACATGAACGCTATCCTGCAGTCGCTCTTCAGCCTCCCCTCGTTCTCCAATGACATGCTGAGGCAGAGCATCCCATGGAAGAAGGTGCCTGTTAATGCATTGCTAAGGTAAGACTCACTTCTGAATATAAAAATTAGACAATACATCAAGCTATTTTATAATATATCTGTAAAGTTAGATTATACCAGATTTTTCACTTTATTCTATGTGACATCTTTGCTTCCTTCAGGCGGTTTGCTCACCTTATGGTCAAGAAGGATGTGGGCTGTCCAGAGATAAAGAAGGACCTCTTGAGGAAAGTGAAGAGTGCCATCTCCTCCACAGCTGAGCGTTTCTCTGGAAACATGCAGAATGTAAGATATCTCTGTTGAACAGTTCATTGTATAGCTCCTATGAAAGCAAACTGTGCTTCACAAAGACCGGCATGTACATAAATACACACACATGAACGATGTCATGTACTGTGTGTGCATAACAGAAAAATCAGAAGGTTAAAGAATCAGATAAAACAAAATAAGAACAGGTTGAACACAACTAACAAGAGAGCATCTTAGGGTGCATTTCAAAAGCATCAAAGGACTCTGGTGTCTCATGGCCCCCTCGCAGAAAAAAAGCACTGTATGGTTGTTGCAGAAATTGACAATGCCCACACACAGTTTGAGGAGCTGTAACCTATCAACTACATTTAAAAAGTCATGGCAAAGGAAAAAAAAAAACATTGAATTTAAAGGACAAAACAAGAACCACACCGGCTTCCTTTTAAATTGATGTTTAGTAACAGCATGTGTAACCTGAAATCCTTGTAGGTGTGTCATTATGACATTGAAGCACTACATTTGGTATAAATCTTTGTTTTTCACTTCTTTCCACATTTCTTCTCATATATGCTAGTTGGTTAAATTTATGCATGCCTCGATGTTTATTTAGGATGCTCACGAGTTCCTGAGCCAATGTTTGGACCAGTTGAAGGATGATGTGGAGAAAATGAACAAGAGTTGGACGAACGAAGCTGCAGCTTCATTTTCTGTGGGGTGTGAGAACGGCCCAGAGACGACGCCATCGACGACCAAGGCAGAGCCCGGGGAGGAAGCTGACATCTCCCGCATCTACACCTGCCCTGTGGCGGTCAACATGGAGTTTGAAGTGCAGCACACGATCACCTGCAAATGGTGAGGACAGTCCTTTGCTTGAGGATCTGAATTTCTCTGTATAATTGAGGAATCCATAAAATAATTAGTTCATTAAATGTTTTTGTTGTTCTGCAGCTGTGGTGAGGTGGTGACCAAACGAGAGCAGTTCAATGATTTGTCTATCGACCTACCACGCAGAAAGAAAACCCTCCCGCTTCGTTCTATCCAGGATTCTCTGGATCTCTTTTTCAGGGTGAGTTGTTTTCAGTAAGAGATTATGGTCATAATAAATTTTTACGTTTGTATATCTGAGCCAACGAGACTCAATCAGGTAAACAAGCTTTGGCTGTTTAGTGATAGAAGTTATTTTTCTCCTTTTGCAGATGGAAGAAATTGAGTACTCGTGTGAAAAGTGCAATGGGAAAGCAGCGACAGTTACACACAAGTTCAGCAAACTGCCCAGGTATCTACACACAGACTGAGAAATTGTCAAAATCAGGGTCAAATATTTAAAAGTTAAAGTGACACTTCACCCGTTGAAACATGAGTCTGTATTGACATTGGGTCATATATGTAGTAGAAATGTGAAATACATTTTGAAGTTGGTGCCTTCTTGGCCGTGAAAAGGCAGAAAGTGTCTTTTTGGCTCATGTGAATGAAAGACACCAAATCCCAGAATGCACAGCACTGCAGGCCACTCCCACTAAGATCCTCTATTTCAGAATCAGAAATACTTTATTAATCCCAGAGGGAAATTCGATGGTTACAGTTTCTCCAAAATATACAATATAGTAGTAGAAATATAGTAATAAAAACATTTACAGACATATTTACTTCAACACATGAGGACATTTCCTCAACTGATTCAGAGATTTCTTCCAGAATTGATCTTGGAAATTCCTGGCAGCATCCGACAGAAATATGGTGGACGTTAAGTTTCGATTCTGGGAGTGAGTTCCCACCCACTGATCTGTGATTGGTCTGTAGCTTCAGTGGTCGAAAATATGAGGAACTAGCGCTGTAGTTTCACACCGCTAACCGCAACAGCTTCTAGTGACGCAATATGACAATATTTGCGTCACTGGAAACTCCTTTTCAGACTTCGAAATACAGAACTTTCCAGTTTCAGGGGGAAATGCACAACCATTCTAAAATAATACCAAGTTTCTAATGATACAAAGCTTAATGCAAATGGGTGAAGTTCCCTTTAAGCATATGGATGATACAATTTTTAACATGTTTTAATCACAATTAGTAAAAAAGTAAGCTTTTGATTTAAAAAAAAAAAAAAAAAAAAAAGTATTCCTTTTTGATTTCTGATCCATCCTCTCTCCCCTCAGAGTACTCATCCTTCATCTGAAACGGTACAGCTTTAACGCTCAGCTGTCTATGAACAGCAAGCTGGGTCAACAGGTGGTGATTCCCAGATACTTGACCCTGCTCTCACACTGCTCGGAATCCACACGACCTCCGATTTGCCTCGGCTGGAGTCCTCAAACTTCCATGTAAGAAATATTAAACGCCTTCAAAATAAGGTCTAAAAATAAAACTGTAAATCCATTTCATAATCAGGGTAATTACATCCTGAGCTATCAAGTGATCAAAATGGTTTTAAGTAAAAGCCCGATAATGGGTATGGTTACATTAGATTAGACCCAGGTGGTTAAAAATGATGGTTTATTGATTCCAAGGAAAGTTTCTTAATGGTTTCTTTGTTGTTGTCAAAGGTCCAGAACACTTAAAACTTCCCCATTGGTCAACAACTCCACAGCCCCTCTCAGGTAAGTACTGCAAACTCTGCATGACTTTTACATAAAGTTTTTACTTAATAGTGAGAAAGAAGTGAGGGGAATAAGGGTTACATTGCACTGGCAGAAAACAGATTTTCTTGAGAAAAGCACTGAGCACTGTGACTCCACCTTTGCTTGTAAACATAATCACTGAACCTGTGAATGTGTACAGAAGAATCGGAGGAAAAGTGGCCACCTCTAGCTGCACCTCTGTCCTCATGGATTCCGACTGTGAAGAAGAGCCCACCAGAAAAGTGAACCAGAGTCGCAAGCGACGCCTCAGCAGCTGTCTCCCTGAGGACGATGACCGACCAGAAGAGGTAGGCGTTTGCTACCAGACCCGGGCACTTACAATTGTGCCTCTTCTGTTTGGTTCTTCTCTGCTGCTGTTCTCACACAGTTATGTCCTTTCAGCGGGCAGCATCACTTGATGCAGCAGACTTCAGTGGCATTAACGATGACGAGATGCTTGCTGCAGTGCTTGAGATGAGTCGACAAGAGGTTGGGCTCTCGGCTCCGACGTCGCTGGAGGATGAGCCCACGAGCAGCCCGGACACAGGCTTTGGGGACACAGATGCTCATGACCTGGCATATCATACAGATCTCATGGAAACCACCAGCAAGCCGCCAGCAGGTAGGCTTATGTCAGGAGGATACAACACTCACTTGTAGCTGTCCATTTAATCGTCCATCAAAATTCCAAAACAGTGAGAAATCCCTCGGCCAAAAATGACACCATTCATTTCTTCTTTTGTCGACTTAGATGTCTAAAAAGCCATAAGAACACTCTTTGACTTTTTCGAATGACAGAAAAGCAGCAAATGTACAAAGGTTTGAATCAGCAAATGTTTCAGGAAATTATGACAAAGAATGTATTATCAAAAAAGTTGGGCCTCAAATTTCTTATGCTCAACATATCCACCCACTTGATGTTCCAGCTCTAGATAATACAATGTTTTCTAGAAGGGGGAGTCATTGAAAACATATAATTGAAATGTACTGTACATGTGGTCGGATATTATCTGAACATATTACATTATAATAATAATAATATTGTAGAGCAGCAGTGTTCTGGGTTGCCTCAAATATGAATTTGACTTAGGCAGGGTGACATTGTTTAATTCAACTGACATGTATATGTTGATCTTGTGTAGATGTCCTTGATTCTCTGGACCTGACCATGGATGAGAACAAGGAGAACCAGACTCCAGAAAGTGTCCAACAGCAAGGGGAACTCGACTGGGTCCAGCAGTACAGTCTGGATCAGGAGAGGGAAGAACAGGAGCTGCAGCAAGCTCTAGCCCAGAGCCTCCAGGAACATGTAAGCTCAAAGGCAGTATGAACTCTGCAGGGCTTTTCTGTCAGAGTGCAACAATGGAGCTGCATCTCAATAATAAAGTGTAGCCAGGAAACAATTAGTGATGCAGGCAAAGAGTAACAACAGTGGTGTTTGCCAAAGAAAAAAACATGTTTATCTTAATTTTTCATGATATTTTAGTTTTTATCAACTATCCAGTCCTAGCAGCTGTTACTTTAAAAATCTGAAGCATGTTCTTAGCAAGAAAACATTTAAAATCCAGCAGTTATTACCCGAGTGAACATGCATTGTTGGCATTTCTTGCACTTGATCTTAACAGTTTTATTTCTTGTCTGACTCATACAGGAGGCCCAAGAGATGAGAGAGGATGATGATCTGAAGAGGGCCACTGAGCTCAGTCTGCAAGGTAGGAATCAACAATAAGTACCATTTATTATTTTTATATTGTTGCAGCTGGTTGTTATGAGTTTGTTTGTGTAGTGATGAAGGGAAACATTGAGTAAGGAATCTCTTAACAGCTGTTCACTTTTTCAAATTTTTGATTTTCCACATAAGCATCAGGCCGACACCATCAGAGCAAAGCAAAACATTACAGCAACAAACACATGCAGTCTGCAGGACACATAATAACTGTTTAGTTAGACTCACTTTGTTGTGACTGTGCCTGACTATTATCTCCTTCTGACCCAACAGAGTTCAACAACTCTCTCCCTGAGCTGCTGTGCTCAGACGATGATTCTGGCAACGAGGACGTGTTGGACATGGAGTACACCGAAGCTGAGGCTGAGAACCTGAAGAGGAACGCTGAGGTACTTAACATTAAGCTGCCACAATGTGTCACCCCTCTAAATTCAAACAAGTGGAATAAGCTCAATCATATGTATAATGCTGCTCTGTTTGAATTTATTCCCACAGTCAACGATTTGTAGACTACAAACAAATGAATACAAGTTGTAGATGTACTCAAAATGAAAATACACTTGACCTCTTTCCTTCTTTTTAACCTGCTTCAAAATGTTGTAACCCACAGAGTGGTGACTTGGCCAACTCTTTCAGACTCATCAGTGTCGTCAGTCACATTGGGAGCAGCTCCTCCTCTGGTAAGTGTATGTGTGTATTTGTGAAGATTTACCACGGGTACTGTACAACACTGCCAGTATAATCACCCGGTATAGTCTTTGGCCTTAAGGACTTCCTGTCAACCTTCGGCATGCTATTTGTCTCCCCTCGAGTGTCCACAAACCACCTTTGTCTTTTTTCTTCCACAAAGGTCATTACATCAGTGATGTCTACGACATGAAGAAGCAGTCGTGGCTGACTTACAATGACCTGGAAGTGTCACGCACACAAGAAGCCGCCGTGCAGCGAGACCGTGAACGCAGTGGATACATCTTCTTCTACATGCACAAGTGAGTTGGCAGAATACACCAGTAGTTGTCTGATACACATGGTTGGTAATGTCAGTGTTGCATTCATTCATGTAATGACAAAGCTGGATTCTGATCACTTCCTCAGATTAAACTTTTGTTTTTATTTTGTTAAGTTACTGAGTCTGTATTTATTCCTTGTGCCCATGTTCGACCACTTGATTGCTAAATGCTAGGCAGTGCAAATCTGGTGAGGTGCATTGAAGGGCCTGGCAATAAAACTAAGGAGACAAATAAAAGTCGATTGCTAACAAAACTTCAACAAAAAAAACTGGACGCTTTGCCTTGCGCCTAGAAAAACGGTAGTCTGGAAAGGGTTTAAGAAATTTCTATTTTATTCATGTTTTTTTTACTGGTTTGAAACACTTGCTCAGTTTATTTTTGAGGGGGGACTCCTTACACCCTGTCCAAAGAATATATCTTAAAGATATTTATCCAGTAATTTACCTGTTCTTTTTTACCAGAGTTAGGGTGATTTGGAGATTTTCTAGTTTTTAAGTTTCTCATAGTATGTGTGTTTTCATTCGCTGGCTGTAGGATGCTCTGACACTCCTTCCTCTCTTGTGTGTGACTTCAGGGATGTGTTCGAGCAGCTGTCTGAGATGGAGAGATCTGGAGCCAGTGCCACCTCAGAGGCAGGAAGGAACGTCCTGCAGCCCCTCTGAGCACTTCGTTTTTGGACAGCCACTGAAAAATCCCAGCTGAACCCTGTTGGATGGAGTTCTCCACTGAACAGCCCTGAGTACTACTGATTGCCGTCCTTCCTTGGGGGGGTCGTCTTCAGACTCTTCTTTTCCTCCTCGGATTAATAAATACTCTGCTAAGCTATCGCCTGAAGATTCTAACACAGGTGTTGACCTTTAAGACTCTTAAAGATACCAGAAATGCAGTTAAAATGTTCAGTGGATCAAATTCGGCCTCCATGTTTTTGGGGCTGGAGTTTTTCTTTGCTATGATTTTATGAAACGACTGTTTTGTAAAAGTTTTTTTCGTCTTTGTTGCTTGATACACTTCTTTAAACTTTAATGCCCTTCTTTCAGACTTTCACTTCAAGCAACCACCAAGATACTAATGGTGCTTCATGGATTGTATGTTCTGCAGACCCTTTATTTCCCATATAAACTAAATAAAGATATATTCTATGTTGGAGTATAAGCTATTATAAAGTTAGAGGGTTGCTGTATTTGGCGGGTACATGTGGTGCAATATTTACGTTCTCAAATCCGCTTTCTGTCACAGAGTGTGTGTGGGGATGTTGGCCTCGTTGCTTTCTGTGCTTATGAACTAACGTGTGTATGTGTGTGATGTCCCCATATTATAGATTTGAAAGACAAAGTATCTGTAAGCGTAATAATAACAAAGCCTGTTTTCACTGAAGCTTTTTCTCAGTAAAGCCCACTTTATTCTTTTGGGGTTTTGACCTTGTGCCTCTCAAGAATACTTTTATAAATACTGTATGTATACAAGCTTTACTTTGAATGTTGCACAACTTTGTTTTTTGGAAAATATTTGTTAATCCTTCAATGTGTAAGTCAGAGTTTCCTTTATAAAGAGCCAAGATTTTCTATTTATTACAACACTGGTTGATTTATCTGAATGAACCCATCGAGATAGGATGCGGCAACTAGACGTCATAAATACTAGACCACCTGGGAGTGTAATGCCTTATGTCACCCTTCTTAAGGCCAGTATACAGTACTCTGCTCAACTTCTTCAGCTAGTATATCACATGTGCTTGCTTATTAAACAAAGCAAACTTGAGTATTCTAATATTCCTGTATTAGATCCGATACTAGATGCTGGTTGTACTGCTTTCATTTTTTGTTACCACTAAGAAAAAATTAAATCACATTTCAGTACACCATTGCCTTAGTGTCACATGAAACGAGGGATCTGCTGGAGGTATTTAAACACCAAATTATTCCCAACAAAGAGAATAAACATGTTACAAAAAAACATGGGCTGAGCATGTTTGTGACGCCCAGCCTTATAGAGTCGGGGGTTTTCTTAAGTATTCTGTTGTACCAGTTATGGAAGCAGACAAAGGTTACTCACAAATGTGTACTTTTTTTTTTTTTTAAAAGCCAGCCTTGGATTTATATATCGGAAACATTGCTCTTCCCTGAACGTCTTGTCCCAAATGCAGTGCAAAGAGGGTAAAATGTATTTGTGAAGTAAAATCAAACACTTTTTTCTACCCTTCATACACAACTGACTCTTCTTGAAGCAGATTTTAATAAAACATTACAGTGAAAGTACATTGACTTTTCAGTTTGATGTTTAAACTTCAGAACACGTCCAATGTCAGAAAAGGAGATCCGGCTTGAACACTGCCGGGTGTGATTAGAGTCCACAGAAATAGCAGCCAGTGTTCTTGTATTTGAGAATGAGGCAGACCGTGAGTAAAATTAGAGTCCCCGCTGGTTACAGGATCATAAACAATATCAAGCACCATAGCACATTTAGTGTGACTTAAAAAGGTAAGCAGGTGGCTGTCACTGTCACCTGTCCTGAGAGCATCTCTTGGTCAGTGGCTCCAGATGTCTCCCTGTGAGTCTGTTGTACTCACTCAGAATGTAGCTTTCCCTCTGCAGCATCTGTGAACAACAGAATAGGAGGTTTTATTACTCAAATTTTCGATTTTACAGAAAATAGTAAAAGTGAAGTATTGAAAATAAAGTCACATTTTTAGTATCAACTGAGAACTCACGAGATGAAGTCTTCCCAGAAACTGTTACCATCACTCAGGATGACCCAAAAAATGCAAAATGACTTTTTACAAAAGTGTTGCTCAACTATTCTCCATAATGTTAGATCCCCATTCTACACACACAGAGATAAAACTGAACATTTAACAACTTAAACTAGTGGTTCCCAAAATGTTTTCTTCTGCCCCCCCCCCCCCTATGGCAGATGAAAATATTTTCAAGCCCCTCCATCCCTTAACATATATCGACAGTCAGTTAAACTGTGTGCATTGTTTTTGTTAAGCCTTCCCTGTCCTCTCAACATTAACTCCGGCCCCCCACCACTTTGGGAATCACTGACCTGAACAATACGAGTGGCTACAAAAAAAGTGAGAAATTAGAAAACAACACTCTGAAGATTGGGTTAAACTCATGAGATGTTAACTACGTCGTTTCTATACAAACCTCAGTCCACTCTTCCTCGGTCTCGTGTCTGTAGCCCAACAAGTGACAGATGCCGTGTGCGGTGACAACCTGAAGCATGAGGCAGAAGAAAAGAGGAACACTCATTGCCAACTTAGGTCACTACAAATATAGCCTCATGTTCTTCTCAAGAAAATGTTTTTATGCATTTGTCTTTATCTTAAAGTGGCCCCATAACTGACTTGTTACAACTTTGTAATTTGAACATAGACATAACACAAGGTATGGTCCGATATAAAGCAGTGTCATATGAAAAACCTGTAAAACAATCAGCAGATCATCTTTGAGATGTTTGTCTAAGGTCAAATAAACACAATGCAAAAGTGCTTGGGCTACTCACGGTGAGGGCTCCATGCAGATCCATTGACTCCTCCTTACACTGCTTCATCACGAACTCCACCCCTAAGAAAATGTCCCCAAGGTTCAGCTCATCTCTATGAAGAGAGCAAGGCAGTTTACCCGGTCTCAGGTCCTTAAAACACAAAAGTACACTCTCAATTGCTGGTGTCTTGGCCTCGGACTTCCTTGTGGAAAAGGGAAATTTGAATCTCAATGGAATTATTCCTGGTAAAATAAAAATATAAAGATTATAAAAATGACACAAATTATAATGATTTAAAAGTAAAACAAGTGGATTGCATTTAAACAAGAAAACAACTCATGGTGACCCTTGTTAACCTCATCAGACTCCAGGTAGAGAAAGGATAACATGCAGGTCCATTCATAGCTTTACTGTCACCGTGTTGTCATGGTTACCTCATAGAATGGAAATGACAGTACATCCGTAGACACATTTTTCTTCCTGTATGTGTTATTTATTTGCTGCATCCTTCGGTTATCCACACAGATGACGCCCAGGTCAAATTTCTGGACGCCCAGAATGTGCCTCAGCATGTCCACGTCTCTGCGCAGTCTGGCGCGGCGCACAGGCACCACCTTCTGGAGGTTCCGGAGCACGACTCCCATTTTTTTTTAACTCGGCGTTAAAAGAGAAGAATGCTCTTTAAAATATCAGAAGACATAGACGGAGGTTCAAATTAATCCATATCCGACGACGACCGTTTAAAAAAACATTATTTAACCTTGTTCAAATTAACGTTTTACGATTGGACAGTTTTAGCTTTAGCGTCGAGCAGTGTTGAACCACATTCCCGGCAGAATTCAAGGTGACACCTCCTGGTAGTGTCAACCTGTAGTTCATGGAAAACCGATAACATAAGATGTGTCACGATTTTTGTATGAATGACAAACAAAGCTGAACTTATTCTGTAATTTACGACAAGGTGATGGCTCGCTCATTCAAACCCCCCCCCCCATTCGAAAAATAGTCGCAAGAGGGGGAACCAAAAATATGTCGGACCGGAACCGGAAATTTGAAATCATATTCGAGCGGAACAGAAAAATAACAACGAACTAAGAAACATGTAAGAGGTGAGTTTATCGTCTTATTATTATTATTTTTAAATATATTTTTTGTTATAGTGAGATAACATGTATTGTCAGTATTCTAACTTTAACTGCATTATAGAAATGGTTATGCTGACTAAATGTGTTTGTGTTTTGTTAGCATGTTAGCGGCTGAGCTACGCACGTTAAAAAGTCTCGTTTGACGTTTTCAGGTTTTCCATTGAAGAAGAAGAAACGTGAGAGGAGGTACAGCTGGAAGATCCCCGCTGCCTGGACACCTGGATGAACACGTGTCTTTCATAAAACAACCAATCTCACTTGGTTTCTCTGAAAGATCACCATGAATCCACCTAATCCGTTTGGAAGTCCACAAGGTGGCGCTTTCCAGGCTCCAAGCAGCACCATGAAGACCAGTCTGTTCCAGTCTTTTGGACAGCAAAGTTCAAGCAATCAGCAAACTATGGGCTTTTTCCCATCAACACCAGCGTTTGGACAGCCGTCTGTGTTAAATCAGCCCACAAGTCATGGAAGTACAATGTTTGGACAGGCGCCTGCCTTTGGACAGTCATCAACACAACCCGCCTCGCTGCCTCCAATAAGCCAGACTCCAGCGTTTGGGCAGCCTGCTTTAGCCATGAGCAGCTCAGGTTTTGGTAGTAGCGCCACACCAGCTTTTGGACAACCGAGTGGACTCAACCAGCAGAGCTCAGTGTTTGGTCAGACACCTGCGTTCGGACAGACTTCTGCTTTTGGACAGACTGCAGGTTTTGGTCAGCAGCCAGCTGGGTTTGGCCAGCAGTCCTCTGGGAGTGGAAACACCCAGGTGTCATCTGGCTCCACCCCTGCTTTGGGGCAACCTCAGTCGCTGAGTTTTGGACAGTCATTGTTTGGACCGCCGCCATCTACCGGTGTTAGCACCAGTGTTTTTGGCTCCACTCAGAGTGTAACCCAGAGCAGAGGCTTTGGACCAACAGAATTCAATTTTAAGCCCGCTAATGAGGCACTTTTCAAACCCATCTTCAGTGCGAGCCCTGAGCCCACTAAACCTCAGACTACTTCAATGTCAAGCTCTCTGTTTGGCAGCAGTGCATCCCAGACAACCAGCACTATTAGCAGCAGCAGCAGCACTACCGCCACCACCGCAGGCTTCACTCTGATGCCTGGGGCTAAGTCGGGGCCGCTGGGCTTCAGCTTCTCACAGCCCGCTGCAGCTCCCTCTATCGCTACTCAAAACAATCCCCTAACAACTGGCAACAGCAGCGGATCTTCCAGCACTCTGCAGTTCACTTTTTCTCAGCCAGCCGCCCCCTCCAGCTCCAGCACAAAGACATCAACCACCCAGCCCACCACCCCTTCATCTTTCAGCTTCTCAACCAAAACCCTCCAGCCTCAGGACCCACCCGCTTACAGTGGAACCATTTTTGGTCCACCCCCAGCTTATGGCGACACCAAGTCTAAGGCAGAGAGCGGTACAGGTGAGAAAGGGAGCAACCTTGAGGCTCTCGGGGACACAAATGTATTTGCAAGATTAGGCAAAGGCACCAAGCGCAAGGAAGAACCAGTGGTTCCGAGCAGTGGCCAGGAAAAGCCTGCCACAGAGGAAGATGTTCCAGCAGAAGCAGAATCACCAAGACATCCCTCAAAGAGGCCTCTTATGAGGTCCCGTGGCCCAGCAGGAGGAATATTCGGTAGGGCACTAAGTGGCCTTCGTAAAGATATCCCTGTGAGGCGAGATGCCACAAAGGAGACTGAGAGGGAAGACGTCCCAGCTAAGAGTGAAGACTTACCTGTTACGACTCCAACAGGATCCAGGGATGTTGTGGAAAAAGCTGAACAGTCAGGTGAGACAAAAAAAAAAAATCATACACTTTGTGCTACCAGTGGAAGATTTCAAAGAAAACACCAAAACTTGTCAATTCAGAGGAAAAACTTCACATATGCATCCATTTGGTTTCTCTCTTTTTCTACAAATAAAAGTAGTTTCACTGTGGTTTAGTACAGAAATCATTTGCTGAATTTAAAGGACACTTCTTTGATTTAATAAAATAATTGAATGAACTGTAAAAACATCACCATTCTGACTTCTAATTTTAACATTTCATCCCATAGACTCAGCAAAAACTCCAGAACCAGAGCGCGAGACCATAACTCCGGTGAAACGAGGCGTACGCAGGGAAAGCTCGGAGAGCCTGAGTGGCATGTCTCCCAGTGACTGCACCAGTATCATGTGCAGAAACGTGCTTCCAAACCTCAACCGGAGGGAGATCATGGAGAAGCATTTCCG